TTACTCTTTAAATATATGTCCAACTGCAAGAAAATAGACTAAAAAGCAAGTTATATCTCTTTCTGAAAACCACATTTTACAGAGTTATCTCCCCTTGAGTGATTTTATAGAATTACCCTTACACTCTTTATCTTAGATAAAACACTTACCCTGAGTGACATATGCATTTTGTTGATATATTTGAATTCCTTACACATTTTTACATAATTAAAAGCCTTAAATACTGTATTATATTATACTTTAGTTTCATTACACTGAACTTCAGGTGGGAAAATGACCAAAAAATTGTAAATCTACGAAGAAAAACAATATGTCATTACTCTACATACCACACTGTTAAACATTTTATTTTGTGAAATTACACATTTATCTTTCTTCTTTACATTGCAACCAGTTTGGGTGAAATACTGAGTATTTGTAGTTGGGAAATGGCATTTAAAAGGATGCAGCAGTATACCTAAAGAAAATGCTGAGTCATCGCTTCAACGCCCCCTAGTGGGCTAAAGCCACAGCTTTGATTTGTAAGACTGAAATTTTTGGATTCGTGAGGCAATTTTACATCAGAATACATGTTCAAACATTTTGGCCTCTCTCGGTACAAAAATCACCCTCGGGCTCTTGGACTGAATAGTCCACTGAAGCATTCATGGAACAAATCTCACATGGGCAAACTAAAGTGTCCGAATTTCAATCTAACATGATGGTACATCAAGTACATTTCAAACGAAACACTTTGAATAACAAAACTGATAACTTCTTGTTATGTAAACAATCTTTGGAAGATAAAAGCATTTAATTGCACAGGTTCTACTGATTTGACAATAAGATTTGATAATCTTTTCCATAAAATCCTTGCACCTCTCTACCTCACCATTTAACATCTGAAATCAATTCTGGAGGAATTATTTGTTACTTTCTGACAATTTAGTCAGGAAACTCCCAATTCTGCATTCCTTTTTAGTTAATGGTACATCGTCGTCGTAACCTACAACATTTGAATCGTGAATTGTTACATTGTAGAAGTACGTTTTAAACCCTTCTAATCCTTCTTGCTTAAGTACAGCTATTATTACAGTAAGTGCTTCTTCACGTCGGTTCAAACATTTGTTCCCCGAACATGAGACACAGCTGGGTAATTACGAGTTAGAAAATGCGACCCGAAGGCAGAAAGTGTTTATCACCCAGGATAGCGAGCCTCCTGGCCTTGAACGTATCCAGGACATGTGGGAATTATTTCATTCCAAATCAGCCTTGATTCTCGGAGGATGGTTTGGACGATCCGGGGTATACATCAATGACGGCATACCTGTTGTCCTGATGGTGCAGTTAAGCAGAAACAGAATTCGCTCGACTGTAAATTGAATTCCCCGGTAGTCCGTAGTGAGGAAAGCAATTCATTGGGAAATGAATGCAATAACACGTGACCAGTTAAGCTAATCCGAATGCAGGCATTACAATGAACACAACGATAATTACATTGAATAACATACAACATTCAGATATTAACAAAATTTTAATGTTTCATCTCGAGTTGCTTCATCGTCTATGGCATGGACATTTAAATTAAATATATCACAGCTATATTAACATTGTTCCAGCTGAATTGATAAAACATTTGTAGCATTCAATGAGTGGTAATAGCTTGATTACACATAGATTACTCCTTATATGATTATTTGATATACCAATACAATTCACTACAAATGTGATAATTACTACATTACTTAATGTCAGACAAGTTTGTCTGAAAAAGGTCGTTTGTTATACCTCATGGACAGTACTTGATTTGTCTGTAAAGCTTTCTGTACTTTGGTATTTCTATATATTTGGGCCAACCAAATGGATGGGCCATAACCAGTAGTATTAAGAAAAGACTGGCCTCATAATTAACAATCTATTCAAGCTATTAATCATTAAACCAACCATATCATCGTTGTCAGCGTCATAGTCTGGGTAGTGAATTTCCTCATCCCTTATTTGGGCAAGGGCTTCCTCTACGTTTGGCCTACGTTTTAAGCTATCAATTGCGCTAGTCATTTGAGGACTTATGTTGTAATCACTTAATCACAGGGGACATAAACACTAATTATAGTTTCTGTGAAATATGTAAGATTACCTGTTGGTTTCAGATTGAAGTATTTTGTCCTTCTGATCACACTTTGGCTAGCACCGAAGGCGTTTGTGATGTGACGTTATGTTTACCTCGTTTGAAGCGATCTGCAAAATTCTTCGGTTGTCAACCGACGTCTTTGCTGCCGTCTTTGTGTATTCGGTTGCAACAACCCCTTGTTGGAAATGCTGCTGTACTCTCTGATAAGACTGTGTAACGATCTGTCAGGATTCATCCAAACACCACCTCCGTGGTGTAGTGGTTAGAGCGCCCGCCCGGAGAGCGGAAGGGTCGCGGGTTCGATCCCCGACCGCGTCATACCAAAATACGTTAAAATATGGTACTTGTTGGTTCCTGCCTGGCGCTCGGCATTAATGGCTACAACAAGGACTGGTCGGCTCGGAGTCAGTATAATGTGTCTGAGTGGGGTACAGCGGCATGGTATCTCGGTGGGCTAGCACTATAAAACCAGCCTAAGTCTGGGCTAGTACAAGCAGCCGCACATACACATACACACGCATGCACGTCGTCATATGAGCGAAATATTCTCAAGCACGACGTTAAACCCAATTTCACCTCACCTCACCTCATCAGCACTAGTTGGTGCCTGAGGGGTTATTCATGCGAAACTGTAGAAACCCCGGTGGTCTATAAAACAGGTGAAGTACCTGCAGACGTACATGAGATTATGCACATTCTCTCCTGAAATAATCTTGCACGCGACGTAACACCCTAATTTTCCTCACATCAATGTTTGACGTGTTGCAGTTGACTCTAGTCCACACAGGGTACAGGAGTCCCAACAGCATGATGAATCTATGGTAAACCCATTATCTTGACGGGCGTATTGAAGCGCATGTCACCTTTGAAACAAGCCCGGAACCCAGTTCACAGACTTCGTTTGGCACGGGTGTATGTGTAAACTTTAAAAGTAGTTTCTAACTGACCTCTCATATTTACACCTGTATCCGTATATGACCTCAACGGATACCGCACTTATCCGTTGGCTTTATCCTGCCCAACCATCCACCAATTATATGATAAATCTAAATGTTATGTTGTTTTATCCACTCAGGGTGAAAAAAAATAACTCACGAGGGCATGCAAAAATGAGCATCACGATCTATCATATCTGGACAACGCAGATGACAAGGATTTCTGATATTATACAATTAGTTGTGATGTTGCTCTCCTGTAATCAGGAGAGGACATGAATATATATACTCGGTCACCTTTCGATAACAGACATGCTGGTGCAATGTTCAACGAGTTTTTGTCTACTTTGTTACTGTACTGTCTTCTCTGAGATAACCTGTCCAGATAAAGGCGTGGGAAGTGACAAACACCAATACGTTCCAATCAACGTTACACACAACTTCTCGAAGTATCGTTCCAAACACACAGTCATGTTCAAGCTGCTTGGTGTAACTGTGACCCTCATCTTGGCTACAGCCACGGGTGTGGTTTGGTGTCAGTCCTGTCCAAGCGGCTTCCTGCACCACGACAACTCCTGCTACAGCCTCATCCGTGTGCAAGCATCGTGGGCGGAGGCAGCCGTGTACTGTCAGGCTATAGGCTCCCACCTGGCCTACGTGGAAGATGCCTCGGAACACTCCTTTGTGGAAGGCTATCTCAAACGAGAAGATTCTACTATTAAAACTGATGGTATCTGGATCGGTGGGTTGACATACCTGGTACAGGACGACTGGCAGTGGGGATTTCAAAATACCCGGATCGCCAATACCTGGTGGCTACCTGGAGAACCCAATAATGACAACGGTCACCAGCACTGTCTCATGTACAAGAAAGGAGGGTACACGTGGGATGACAATGAATGCCAGGACACCGAGTTTTTCTTATGTGAACTGGAGCTCGAGTCCAGCCCTGGAATAGTTGGGAAATAACAGTAGAAGAAAGTCCGGCTTTGAGGATAACAGTTCTTGTGTCCCTAGAAACATTGATGTTCTGTAAAATAGTAATGTGTGGCAGGGTTTAAAATGTACCTGTTAATAATTACTGACGGATACATTGATTGTATACTCTAGTGATGCCACTGCATGATTGTAAAATATTTATTATGTCTGTTCATTCTGAAGATGCATGGCTTCTGGAAATGCTTACAAAGGACACGGACTAGGTATTATCACTTGCTATTTAAATTAGCTACGGTATTTGCATGAATAGTACATGATTAATGATGCCAGAACATTAAATTTTTAACGATTTTGAACGCTTGTTGTTCGATTTATTTAGTCGGTTTACCTAACTGTTCTGATTCTGGTTCTGCTTAAACTGACCATCTAAGAACCATTTGAAACGGATCTAGGCTTTCACCATATGATTGCATGCCCATATTATCAACAAGTGGCGAGACGCCGTATCAGGTGCACCCTGATAACAACACGTCTGACATGACACCACACTGTCCTGTCTTCACCAGGTCACCTTTGAAACAAGCCCGGAACCCAGTTCACAGACCTCGTTTGGCACGGGTGTATGTCTAAACTTTGAAAGTAGTTTCTAACTGACCTCTCATATTTACACCTGTATCCGTATATGACCTCAACGGATACCGCACTTATCCGTTGGCTTTATCCTGCCCAACCACCCACCAATTATATGATATATCTAGATGTTATGTTGTTTTATCCAATCAGCGAGAAAAAAAATAACTCACAAGGGCATGCAAAAATGAGCATCACGATCTATCATATCTGGACAACGTAAATGACAAGGATTTCTGATATTATACAATTAGTTGTGATGTTGCTCTCCTGTAATCAGGAGAGGACATGAATATATATACTCGGTCACCTTTCGATAACAGACATGTTGGTGCAATGTTCAACGAGTTTTTGTCTACTTTGTTACTGTACTGTCTTCTCTGAGATAACCTGTCCAGATAAAGGCGTGGGAAGTGACAAACACCAATACGTTCCAATCAACGTTACACACAACTTCTCGAAGTATCGTTCCAAACACAGTCATGTTCAAGCTGCTTGGTGTAACTGTGACCCTCATCTTGGCTACAGCCACGGGTGTGGTTTGGTGTCAGTCCTGTCCAAGCGGCTTCCTGCACCACGACAACTCCTGCTACAGCCTCATCCGTGTGCAAGCATCGTGGGCGGAGGCAGCCGTGTACTGTCAGGCTATAGGCTCCCACCTGGCCTACGTGGAAGATGCCTCGGAACACTCCTTTGTGGAAGGCTATCTCAAACGAGAAGATTCTACTATTAAAACTGATGGTATCTGGATCGGTGGGTTGACATACCTGGTACAGGACGACTGGCAGTGGGGATTTCAAAATACCCGGATCGCCAATACCTGGTGGCTACCTGGAGAACCCAATAATGACAACGGTCACCAGCACTGTCTCATGTACAAGAAAGGAGGGTACACGTGGGATGACAATGAATGCCACGACACCGAGTTTTTCTTATGTGAACTGGAGCTCGAGTCCACCCCTGGAATAGTTGGGAAATAACAGTGGAAGAAAGTCCGGCTTTGAGGATAACAGTTCTTGTGTCCCTAGAAACATTGATGTTCTGTAAAATAGTAATGTGTGGCAGGGTTTAAAATGTACCTGTTAATAATTACTGACGGATACATTGATTGTATACTCTAGTGATACCACTGCATGATTGTAAACTATTTATTATGTCTGTTCATTCTGAAGATGCATGGCTTCTGGAAATGCTTACAAAGGACACGGACTAGGTATTATCACTTGCTATTTAAATTAGTTACGGTATTTGCATGAATAGTACATGATTAATGATGCCAGAACATTAAATTTTTAACGATTTTGAACGCTTGTTGTTCGATTTATTTAGACGGTTTACGTAACTGTTCTGATTCTGGTTCTGCTTAAACTGAACATCTAAGAACCATTTGAAACGGATCTAGGCTTTCACCATCTGATTGCATGCCCATATTATCAACAAGTGGCGAGACGCCGTATCGGGTGCACCCTGATAACAACACGTCTGACATGACACCACACTGTCCTGTCTTCACCAGGCTGAGACATGGAACTGGGCTGACTTGGTGTTTGAAACGATAACAATATACGGTACGTTTGTGGTCTTCAAGTGTTACTCGGTCACCTGTTATTACTTTGGGGAAGATGGAAAAAAACGTTTGCCCAATTACTGCCATTTCTACTTGCTTCACCTATAGCTGTGTCAGAGAAGGGGAAGGGGGCTGGATTCCACTGTGTACTACTCGCTGTGAGAGTCAGTCAGCTGGAAGCAGCTAGTAAGACTGACTGAATTTGGTTTTACGCCGCTTTTAGCAATATTCCAGCAACATCACGGCGGGGGACACCAGAAATGGGCTGCACACATTGTACCCCTGTGGGGATTCGAACCCGGGTCTTCGGCGTGACAAGCCAACGCTTTAACCACTAGGCTACCCCACCGCCCCAGCAGCTAGTAAGATGACACGTGAACTGTGTCCACATAACATGAGGAAAACTTTCATATCTGAATCACAATACGGTTTAATGAAATACACATCATGACCTTATGTGAGGGGTAATTGACAGACAGTATTAGTGAGTGTGTGGCTGAGTATAGTTTTAAGCCGCTGTTAGCAATATTCGAGCAATATCACTACGGGCGAGACCGGAAATAGGCTTCACACGGTGTACCAATGTTTGGAATCGAACCCGGATCCTCGGCGTAAGGGCGAACGCTTTAACCACTAGGTTGCCCTACAGACCTACATACTATTAACATGAACATGACATTGCGTGTCTCTCATACCGACTCCTAACTTCGGTGTTCCAGAACGTGTCATAAAATGTAACTGACACGAAAAAGCACAAGTCAAGATAAGTCTCATTCAAATGTTCGCAGTGGAATGCACGTGGTACATTTCATATGCGATTATATAATGTTTCATATACAGAGATAGATATCATTTATATTAAATTACAATTCCGGTTTCACTTGTGTGAATAATATCATGTTTAATAAGCGCGTTTAAACTCTTTCCACAATCACAAGAAATCGACTTTACAATTCCAAACATATCATGCGACTGATTCTTTATCAAATATCCATGATAACACCAGTTTAAGCAGTAATAAATGGACCTGGGTTAAAAAGTCCGTGAAGATTCGGTAGAATAATTCCATTGTCAGATATATCAGAGACTGGCCCTATACGCACATTCTGGACCAGACAATCCAGTCATCAACAGCAAGAACATCGATTTTTGCAATTGGAATACGATGACATGTGTCAGCCAAGTCAGTGAGCCTGACCACCCGATCCCCTTAGAAAACTCTTACGACAAGCATGAATTACTAAAGACCAATTCTAGCCCGGATCTTCACCGGGCCAAAACAGAGACACCCTCACATTTATCAATTAAATATATGGTCGTAAATGATTACTGCGACAAGTACTGATCCACCAGTTCTTGGTATGTGTATTCCACAGAAGCGAAAATCAGTTTCAGTCCCTCTGAAGAGTCCGGGTTAGACTTGGTGTTCAGAGATAAACACAGGTCATTAGAGGCGACTAACGGCCCAATGGGATCGGGTGGTCAAGACGTACTATCTTCATTAATGCATGTCATGGTGTCAGAAATGCGTAGCTCGGTGTTCATGATATTAATCACTGGCTTGTCTGGATCAGACTCGATAATGTACAGACTCATGACGTTTTGTTGGAATATTGCGCACTGGTCTAGAGCGATTCGTGTTTCGTGACAGCTGCCTAGTCCACGTGACCGTCACGGTCGGGGGAGCAGGAACTCAGTACCTGGCAGCTTGTGGACGGGATTAGATTGTTGGCGCGAAACATTAATCGCTCTGGATCAGTGCTCTATACAATAGGTCCTGTCAAGGCGGGCACTCTCGATCCAGGCCACAGTGAATGCCCGAGCGGATGGTTGTGATTCACGAGGCACAGGCCGCTGATGTACTTCCAAGCTGACGTCAAAACAGCTCAAAAACCAATGTAACTCACAAGTTGCTGGAGCCGTTGTTTTGGTGAAGAATACAGACTTATTTCTACAACAATTTATAAGCTGGCTACTCTCTCAGTCGTGTTACGCGCTTGAACAAATGCTATAAATGCTGGTTATTTCGTATCAGAACAAATGTCCTCAACTTGGGTCATCAGAAACAAAACAGTCTTTTTCGCAGCCTCGACGGTAAGTTGGATTGAGATTTTTCACGATAGTGTGTCTTCTAGGAACGATGATGAACAAGGAAGATAGTTTTATGGATTTGCAACAGTTGTCAAGAATGCAGTTTTACCGGGCGCAGCCCGCCTGCGATGACGGGGAGCAATTATCGCAGTATAGCGCGCTCGCTGTCTCGTTATATCGCTGCTTGCCTCCCGCTCTTCAGTGGCGCTTCTGTAAGGCTAACAACCGTTTACGATCCTCATTTCATGCTTATGTTTCTTATATTATAATAAAGAAGTTGTATATCTGTGGAAGTATCTCCTTTGTTCATCACACCAGCTTCTAAATTCCATTTCATTTCACGCAAAAAGTATACTGATGAATAAATATCGTTTCGTTTGGAAATCTGTAATTTTGAAATAATAACGTGGCTAAGAATTTTATCAGCAAAATGTGTATTGGTTTTGGTTTATGGCCACTTTAAACAGAAATATATCATATGAAGAAAGAGTGAGAACCAATAAACGGTTTTACCACTCTGACTCCACTTCTTAGTCATTAAGAGGGCTCACACTATACGATCGTAATATAAGTATGACCACTGACATACAAACACCAGTTTTTCATGCATATATTTCTTATAAAACAATCAAGACAAATACACGACTAACATTGTATTGAATTTATTATGTCAGTAATCCTATTTATGAATAAGATATAATATGTATGTATATTTTATATAAATGTATGCAATGGTGAGAATCGGCTTGATTTCACTCGTCCACATATACAGATACCATATTTCCATGCAGGCGTACGGAACTGGAAATGGAACCAAAGTCGGAAAGAGGAGAGGTTAAACCCAAAGTCTACAACTGCGAAGTATGTAAGAAATCATTTCGTAACCCCGCGGAATTGATAGTTCACTTGCGAGTCCACACTGGGGAGAAGCCATATGGATGTGAACTTTGTGCGAAAAGATTCTCCCAGAAGTCGGGTGTGAAGAGTCACATGGTCAGACACAATGACGCCAGACCATTCAAGTGTGATGTATGTGATCAGGCGTATAAACTAAAGAGCAACCTTCAGAAACACTCAAAGCGCCACACAGATGGAAAGCCATACCAGTGCCCTGTGTGCGAGAACAGATTCGCAGTTTCCCGGAACCTGAAGGAACACATGAAAATGCACCCGGAACTGACGACCTACAAGTGTGATAACTGTTCAAAGACTTTCGAATCTAAAGCTGCATGTGATAAACATAAAGCATCACACCATAAAGAGGTTTTGCCTGTGTGTGAGCTTTGCAACAAGAGTTTCGCTGATGAAGATGTTCTGGGCAAACACAAGTTGATACACGAAAAGGAATGTTTCAGATGTGGGATCTGTGAGGAGACGTTTAACAGCACAGGGGACCTGTACAAACACATTCGTGCACATATAGGATACAAGAAGGGAGATTCTGTGTTTGGTTGTGGGTTATGTGAGCGGACGTATACTCAGTGTTCCCGCCTGACAGAACATTTGGAGTCTCATACCGGGATACATGCATACGAATGTCTCCAGTGTGACAAGACCTTCACCTCCGCCGCTCAGTTAAATCGCCATGTTTATGTTCACGCTGACGACAAAGCTTTTGTATGTGGATACTGCTGCAAGTGTTTCTCAACAGCGGCCTACTTAAAAATACACATGGTCGTGCACATTGACGTCGACATGGTCAAGGCCTTAACTTGTCCCGTGTGTGACAAGATATTTCGTCTGAAACACACCTTCAACACACATATGAAGGTACACTCTGCCCCAGAAACCTTTCGATTGTCAGGCGTGACAGAAGGCGTCTCCTGCGAAAGAAAATCTGCAGACCCATTTCAGGTGTCACACCGGATCACAATATTTTCAGTGTGCTCGAAAATTCAGTCACTCTGGAGCGCTGAAGAAACATGAGACTCCATGAAGTTGACACAGAAGAAACTCGACCTAGCGTCAGTTACACCATCTCATGGGAGGAAGTGGAGAAGAACCTTATTTATGGTGCAGGTGTTAGGAGGTTACTGGTGTGTGGCGATTACAAAACAAGATCATATGATCTGGGATTCGAACCTATAATCGGGTGTTGAATTGAGTGTGGAGGGACACATGTAGAATTTAGTAGAGTTAGTATGTTTTTACGCAGCTCTTAGTAATCATTCAGTGATGGCATGGCGGAGGGCAGCACAATCCAGCGTACCCGTGCGTGGAGTGAGTGAGTTTAGTTTTACGCCGCTTTTAGCAATAATCAAGCAATATCACGACGGGGACACTATAAATGGGCATCACACAATGCACATACTATGTGGAATGAAACTCCATAAACCTGTTTTTTCTTCGCGACGAACGAACGCTTTAACTATTAGGCTAACACACACGCATACCACACCGCCACCCGAGTATGATTTGATAAAGGTTTTATGCATGTATAGAAAGTTGCAGTAAAGGAAAGTCCGATTCCCATTAATAATATAAACAGTGAAAAGGATGTGTCCAGCTGCCACCGTGCCGCTCCATGACATCATCTGCCCCAATCTTGAGAAAAACTGTAGAATCCTGCAACATTTCTAAAGGGGAATGTTCATTCATCATGATTTTATTTCAGTTCCATTGCAGTTATCATATAACTTGTTATATAGTATGTGCGCTCAAAATTTGTATCCTTATGTAGTGTAGTTGGAATAAAGACTCTGAATTGTAATCTGAGCTTGCAGACATCAAATAGCACGAAATACACATGAGCGTTGATCAAGAACCATCCACTCTCCAGTTTTTCGGCATAGGGCAATAAGGGCATGGGAATGTATTTTGCCGAACGAATCATATCAATGATTGGTCTTCCTCGGTTTTCCTGGTCTTGGACGAACCTTCACTGCACTGGTCGCCACGTCCTTCCTCACAAGTTGACTTGCTTTTCGGGATGTCTCGATACAGCTGCATCACCGTACGATACGTATCTCGATACTGTGGTCATGATACGATACGTATTTCTATACAGTTGCCTCACCATAGGATACGTATATCGATACAGCTGCATCACCATACGATACGTATATCGATACAGCTGCATCACCATACGATACGTATATCGATACAGCTGCATCACCATACGATACGTATATCGATACAGCTGCATCACCATACGATACGTATATCGATAATGTGGTCACAATACGATACTTATTTCTATACAATTGCCTCACAATAGGATACGTATCTCCATACTGAGGTCACAGTACGATATGTATATCGATACTGTGGTCAAGATATGATATGTATATCGATACTGAGGTCACGATACGATATGTATTTCTATACAGTTGCCTCACCATACGATACGTATCTCCACACTGAGGTCACAGTACAATATGTATATCGATACTGAAGTCACAATAGGATTCGTATTTGGATACTGAGGTCACAATACAATATGTATATTGATACTGAGTTCACAATACGATACATATATCGATACTGCGGTCACAATACGATACGTATTTCTATACAGTTGCCTCACCATAGGATATGTGTCTCCATACTGAGGTCACAGTACGATATGTATATCGATACTGAGGTCACAATACGATACGTATATCGATAATGTGGTCACAATACGATACTTATTTCTATACAATTGCCTCACAATAGGATACGTATCTCCATACTGAGGTCACAGTACAATATGTATATCGATACTGAGGTCACAATACGATACGCATATCGATAATGTGGTCACAATACGATACTTATTTCTATACAATTGCCTCACAATAGGATACGTATCTCCATACTGAGGTCACAGTACAATATGTATATCGATAGTGAGGTCACGATACGATACGTATTTTTATACAGTCGCCTCACCATACGATACGTATCTCCATACTGACGTCACGGTACAATATGTATATCGATACTGAAGTCACAATAAGATACGTATTTGGATACTGAGGTCACAATACAATACGTATATTGATACTGAGGTCACAGTACGATATGTATATCGATACTGAGTTCACAATACGATACATATATCGATACTGAGGTCACGATACGATATGTTTTTCTATACAGTTGCCTCACCATAGGATACGTATCTCAATACTGAGGTCACAGTATGATATGTATATTGATACTGAGGTCACAATACAATACATATATCGATACTGAGGTCACTATACAATACATATTTCGATACAGCTGCATCACCATACGATATGTATCTCGATACTGAGGTTACGATACGTATTTCTATACTGGGATACGATACGTGTATAGATACTAAGGTCACCATACGATAAGTATTTTGATACAGTTGCCTCAACATACGATACGTATCTCGATACTGAGGTCACAGTTCAATAGGTATATCGATACTAAAGTCACAATAGGATACGTATTTGGACACTGAGGTCACAATACAATACGTATATCGATACTGAGGTCACGATACGATATGTATTTCTATACAGTTGCCTCACCATAGGATACGTATCTCCATACTGAGGTCACAGTATGATATGTATATCGATACTGAGGTCACGATACGATACGTATATCGATAATGTGGTCTCAATATGATACTTATTTCTATACAATTGCCTCACCATAGGATACGTATCTCCATACTGAGGTCACAGTACAATATGTATATCGATAGTGAGGTCACGATACAATACGTATTTCTATACAGTCGCCTCACCATATGAGGACACAGAGGTCACAATACAATACGTGTATCGATACTGAGGTCACGATACGATATGTATTTCTATAGCTGCCTCACCATAGGATACGTATCTCCATACTGAGGTCACAGTATGATATGTATATTGATACTGAGGTCACAATACGATACATTTATCAATACTGAGGTCACAATACAATACATATTTCGATACAGTTGCGTCACCATACGATATATATCTCGATACCGAGGTTACGATACGTATTTCTATACTGGGTTCACGCGATACTGAGGTCACCACGTTTCGTGTATAGATACTATGGTCACCATACGATATGTATTTCGATACAGTTGCCTCAACATACGATACGTATCTCGTTATTGAGGTCACAATAGGATACGTATTTTGATACTGAGGTCACAATATGATACGCATCTCGATACTGAGGTCAAGTTATGATACGTATCATGATACTACATTCCAAGACATTGCGAGGAACAAGCAGCCATTTAAATGCTGATACTGGGTGCTTGTGTCTTTGGTTGTGTGTTGTTTAACACTGCACTCAGCGACATTCTAGCCATTTGATGGTGGTCTGTAAATAATCTATTCTGGACTCAAGAATCCAGTGACTAACCATCTATGCAACAGGGATATGACACGTGTCAACCAAGTCAGGGATCTGACCACCCGATCCTGTTGGTCGCCTCTTCTTGACATGTGTTGCTTGAGACCAATTCTGCCCGGATCTTCACAGGCCTGATTATTGATTGGTTGGACCACCTTTGCCACCTCAGGTACCATTGTGGACATGCCACTGTATTATGAAACTTAACCTTGTTACTAAAGATGTCATATTTCTATTTGTGCAGTATCCTGGCACATATATCTGTAATCAAGCTCGTCATTGGACATACACAGGGGTCATAATTTCCATGGAATTCTTGGATTTTGTAACATGGTCACCTTTGTGATATATGCCATCACGATATACACACAATTCATTCTGTCACCAAAAACCCTGCTCAACATGCAGTGTTTTTTTTTATTCATTTTTTAAAACAAAAAAATAAACAACCTGATAATTCCTGAATAAGAGAAATTCATCAATGGTTGATATGTTGATGTTGTTCTGAATGACTTGTTTCAGTTGTAGAAACAAAATCGACATCTATTCAAGATAACCTCACAATGAAAAAAGGTATCTACACAGACCATCCAATCTACTGAGTTGACTCTCATGTGCAGCATAGATATCTGGGTGCAAATTCAAGGACAGGGGAAATAAGGAACTCTTATACAAGGCAGTTGTGATCAAGGTAATCTTATCACAGTGAGTAGCTACATTAATATGACTCTTTTTGCCATATTTCAGTAATATCCCAGCAAAGGACATCGGAAATATGATAAATACATTTGTGGAAATTGAGATGAGGTGAAATTGGGTTTAACGTCATGCTGGAGAATATTTCGCTCATATGACGAAGTGCCTGCATGTGTATGTGTATATGCGGCTGCTTGTACTAGCCCAGACTTAGGCTGGTTTTATAGTGCTAGCCAACTGAGATACCATGCCGCAGTGAAGCATGAATCCCCCACTCAGACACATTATACTGACTCCGAGCCGACCAGTCCTTGTTGTACCCATTAATGCCGAGCACAAGGCAGGGACCAACAAGTACCATATTTTAACGTCTTTTGGTATGACGCTGCCAGGGATCGAACCAGCAACCTTCCACTCTCACATTGGCCCCTTATCAGATTACTCTTGTCATTAATGATATCCTGACTCAGCTAAATAAACTATTCCTGTGAACAGACCATCAGGTTACAATTGTCACACTTCAACTCAACATGTAGAAAATGTATTTATTAGCAAATTTCAAAATGTCACAGACTTTGAAACACTGTACTTGCTCCTGACAATGATTACATCTGTGTATGAAATGTGGGTCAGTGTTTCACAGTACAGATGATGAATCAGAAGCACACAGCTGAAGAATGTTCGTACAAACATAATTTACATGTGCACCTTCAAATTGGTGAGGTGAGATTAGTTTTAAAACCCATTCTAGACTATTGCATGTAACACTGACTGACTGACTGAGTTTGGTTTTACGCCGCTTTTAGCAATATTCCAGCAACATCACAATGGGGGACACCAGAAATGGGCTTCACACATTGTACCCATGTGGGGATTCGAACCCGGGTCTTCAGCATGACGAGACAACGCTTTAACCACTAGGCTACCCCACCGCCCCTTACATGTAACAGCTTGCACATGTGTGTGTGTTCTTGTGTGATGGCTTGTACAGTCTGGGGAAATACTGGTTCCGTAGGGCCAGCCAACTGAACTACCTTACCACAGTTTAACATAATACAGGTGATACCCATTTGGACATAGCACCCCACACTGACTTTGAGCTGACCAGTCCGTGTTCCTTTGATGCAAAACAGCAAGAAAGTAACCAATAAGCACCATCTTTTAAAGTTGTTTCATAGCTGATGGTCAGCCTGGAACCACCAACATTTCAGTCTCCAAGCAGGGGCACCATGTGAGAAGCACTTGCAGTTATTTGTAATCTGTCACAGAGCATGCAGGCCGCTCTGTTTGCTGTATGTCTCATAAAACAGAAGTTTCTGGTGACTGATACGAGGCTTCACTGTGGTCAGAGCCTCCGTGAAATGTCTGTGAGCGACGACACAGATGTGGATATCTTCCTGTAGAGCAAACAGTGCTGCCTCGTGACATACTGCTGACACCTGCAAAAATACATACAGTCTTGTGTAACCAGTATTCAAATGATGACTTTACCACTGGCAATAATACACAGCTTTACTACAGTGCTTGACTACATTCCTCCAAGCCCTGAACAAGACAGGCCATGTAATAGTGACATACTGAGTTTTAGTCGCAGAACTCACAAAGGTCAAATGAGCCCTACTCTAAGCATGAAAATTTGAACAGTCAAGTCTGGACCCGACAATCCAATGATCAAGAACATGTGTGACATGTCAACCAAGTCCGTAAGTATGAGTGAGTTTAGTTTTACACCGCTTTTAGCAATATTACAGCAATATCACAGCAGTCCGTCAGTCTGGCCACCCAGTCCCGTTAGTCCCCTCTTAAAACAAGCATGGGTTGCTAAAGACCAATTCTAACCCAGATGTTCACAGGTCCTTTTGATATAAAGCATGTAATGTTCCATAACATAGCACAGTTTACTGACGAATGTATTTGGAGGCTAAAAGTAAATGCTAAATGTTATATTGAGATTTTTTATGACTACAGGGATTTGGGAAGAAATAAACCACAAGCAAAGGTCAAAGAAGCCCTCGACCTAACAGTGATGCATACACAGGAACATTCTCAGATTATAGCAATACACACCTCAGCCCCTGAGTATTTGTCAGTCTCCTCAACCAGATCATCCACACTGACATCAACATCAACAGGCATCCGCTTCAGATGCAGCTGAAATATTTCCTTCCGTGTGTCTGGTGAGGGCAAGGGAACATATAGGATCCGATCAATTCTCCCAGGACGCAGTAGGGCCTGCGATAGAAAGTTGATTGCACAGTGATGGAAATCACATTTTGAAGACAAATATTTCTCCTACATGAGTCTCTTTACAAAAAGACTGTCAGTCTGAAAAAATGCTAGTGACTCATAGCACATGCATCAGTGTACACTGGGAATGACACACTACACCAGACAGGTCATACAACCTTGCACCGTACACTGCTTTAATTGTGTTGGCACTGGATGACTGAATTGAGGTTTAAACCCATTTGGACATTTTTCAAAATTTCATGGCCTCAGGAGGTCCAAGCTTATTCCACGGGCTTTAAGATTCAAAAGTATTATCAATGAATTCTACAAGGGTTTATCGAGACCTGCTCAGAGGCTAGTACCGAGCACAAGTGACCTCTGTATGTAGAGAAACATTGAAAGTAAGATTCATTCCCACCTGGTCTATCATGTCCGGTCTGTTGGTGGCAGCAACAATGGTGACATCCTGTAGCTTCTCAACTCCGTCGATCTCCGTCAGCAACTGCGCAAGTACACGGTCTGCCACGTTACTGCCTCCAGAAGAACTGGGAACAGGTGTAACATGATTTATACCACAGTAATGTCTCAAGATGAACTGAGAACAGTGGGCGTAACATGACTCAGACAGATGTAAAGTCTGCCACATTCATGCCTCCAGATGAGCCAAGTCTGAACCATACGAACTAGCGGCAATTACCATGCTACAGCAAGTTATCACATGTGGCAACTTCAGTCATATTTCAATGTAGTTAGGATGAGTCAGCTTAGTGTAGGTTAGCTTATCAACTCCCACAAAAGGCATTCATGGATAGCTTTTATAAAACTGTGTAAAAAACACCTTCCTCGGTGTTATGCAGATTGTCCAGGGTGCCGTTGTACAAAACAACCTTAGCGCTAAGGCTACCTTAAGTTTATGCTAAGGTATGGGAGTTACGGTCACCTTAGCGCTCAGGTCGCTTTGTACAACGGCACCCTGACATGTATATGTGTCGACATGAGTCCAGAGGCTACCTACCTCCCTCTCTCTACAGCCAGGGCATCTATCTCATCAAAGAAGATCACAGCCGGAGCAGCAGCACGAGCCTTCCTGAACACTTCCCTCACCGCACGCTCAGACTCCCCTACCCACTTGCTGAACAACTCAGGGCCCTGGATAGACACAGGATATATCACTTGCTGAACAACTCAGGGCCCTGAATATATACACAGGATACAACTAGCTGAACAACTCATGGCCCTGGATATACACAGGATATATACTAGCTGAACAAGTCAGGGCCCCAGATATACACAGTATATATACTAGCTGAACAACTCAGGGCCCCAGATATACACAGTATATATACTAGCTGAACAAGTCAGGGCCCTGGATATACACTGGATATATCACTTGCTGAACAACTCAGGGCCCTGGATATACACTGGATATATACTAGCTGAACAACTCATGGCCCTGGATATACACAGGATATATACTAGCTGAACAACTTAGGGCCTTGGATATACACAGGATATATACTAGCTGAACAACTCATGGCCCTGGATATACACAGGATATATACTAGCTGAACAACTCAGGGCCTTGGATATACACAGGATATATACTAGCTGAACAATTCATGGCCCTGGATATACACAGGATATATAACTAATTCAACAACTACAAACCCCAGATATACACAGGATATCATCACGTGCTGAACAGCACAGTGGCTTATCATCAACCTTGTTTACCGAGTTTCAAGATGGATCAAATATATTCTTCTTCTTTGGGGATACACAAATTCAAAAGAGTACACATTGACATTCTTCTGACTGCACTTAGCTATTCATCTTCTCTCATTATTCGTTATTTACCTTGACAGCTATAAAGTTGAGGCCACTCTCTGTAGCCAGGGCTTTAGCTATCATAGTCTTAGAGCATCCTGGAGGTCCATACATGAGCAGGCCTTTGGGAGGGTTAATGCCGAGCCTCTTAAAAGACTCAGGGTGTTTTAGGGGCCACTCTATTGCCTGTTTCAGTTTTAGTTTCAGCTCAGCCTGACCACCGATGTCCGACCACAGAACCTGCAAGAATACAGAATTAACACATACATACATATTTTTTTCCAATTGTATTCTATCTTCATCCAAGTGAAAACACAATGCCAATTACTGAGAAAGTGAAATCCCACATATAACATATAATTTTTCAATGTCATTCCAGTGTGACCCCATAACTCACAAAATCACATCACCTCCTAACTCCATGTCACTCCCACCCAGTCTCCCTCCGCTGATGAGCAACCATCACGTTCCATCACATTTGTCTCACTACCAATAAGGACCGAGTTGTCTCTACTGTCTCTAATAATAAACTCCCCTTGGCCCCTTAATTACCTTCGGCACCTCCAGCTGCACCTCCCTCATGGCACTAGGCTGAACAGTTGACAAGGCATACACCACGTCCTCCCTGCATACCAACAGCTGCTTATTCCCAGTGTCCATCTTCCTCTTCACAGCATGCAGGCCAGCTGTAGAGGGAGAGAAATGTTCATGAGTTATCTCCCTTGACATCAAAGCCCAACAAGCTCTGCAGTCAATGGATTATTATTGCTTGTTGCTTACTGTCGCACTCAGGGATATTCTCACAATATGATGGCAGTCGGTAAAACAACAGGTCTGGACAAGACAATCCAGTGATTGACACCATGAGCATCAATCTATGCAAGTGGGATAAGATGACATCCTCCAGCCAAGTTGGCACGTCTGACCACTCGATTACATTAGTCGCTTCTTATGACAAGCATAACATGCTGAAGATCAGTTCTAACCCAGATGTCCATGGGAAGTCAATGGATCAGCAGGCACAATACCGATATAACAGATCAAATAAAACTACAAACCCACCTTCTTTACAAATTGCTGCCAGGTCAGCCCCTACAAAGCCATGAGCAGCATCAGCAACATCTGCCAGCTCCTCAGTGGTCAGCGTGTTTGGGGTCTTCTTCAACAGCTTCTCAAGTATCTGACATAAGGGTCAAATAGATGATTATCTTAAATCTGGTTTAAAATATTACAATATGTACATGTTGACAGACACACAGAGCACAAAAAGACACTTTGGTGTCTAATCAAACCAAATATTCTAAAAACAACCTTTCAACAACTATTAAATATAGAGCCATTATTTATAATATTTCCAGGAAATCCAATAACCCCAAACAAGTATGATCCCCGACATCCCAGTACTTACCTCCAGCCTCTGTTTGGCAGTGGGGACCCCTACCTCCACCTCCCGGTCAAACCGACCCGGACGTCTCAGCGCAGCATCCAAAGCGTCCGGTTTACTGGTCACCCCAAGCACAACCACCATCTTGTCACTACTGCACTGAAACAAACAAATCAAATAGGTCCTTTTCCAAAACCTTCATGTTGATTTCTTAATCAATGTATGACAGTGAACTGTAAATATATCAAGTCACTCAGATCAAATCTGAAAACTTATCTGTTTCAAAAAGCCTACCCTACATGCTGAAGTGTATCAAATTAACTTATTTCAATCCTGTGCTGTGTACTTTCAACTCTGGGTGCTTCGAGCATGCATTATGCGTGGAGAAATGCGCATTACAAATGGACTATTATTATTTTTATTATTATTATTATTATTATTATGCAATTCTGCTACCAGTAATATTTCAGATAAATCTGGATAGCAACTACACAACCTCCGTGTTGGCTATCACACACCAGGAACAGGTTCTGGCAACCTCTTCTCCTTGCCATCACTTATGAATCAATGATTATTTCTATACACATTCCAAAAGTGCTTTACTGCATCTCTTTTACAGCAGTTGATTAGTAATAAAAAATAATTTGAAACAATGTCCAAGAAACAGATAGGTCAACTTGAGTAAACATTGATCCCAACAGTGCAGTATGTGAACATGTATCAACATTCGAGTACATACATCGATGCCATCCATGAGAGTCAGCAGGCTGGCCACCACCCGCTTCTCAAGATCACTGTTAGAGTTGTCTCTCTTGGGGCACAGTGCATCGAGTTCGTCTATTACAATGATGCTCGGAGCCCTGGGACAGAATGAAGGACTCACAACACTGTAATCTTATAATGGGCCACTTTGATAAAGAACCAGGTACAATAGGGGTTGTGTTTTGTTCATGTGATGTGCAGTTTAAAGAAGAAGAAAAATTTTTAGAAAATGTTATTAAAATTAAATGAGAACAACATGCATATTCTTCGGGACTTGCACACACATATTTCAGATTATATGCTCCTAAAATAAATGACTGACGTCAAATTGACAGTTTGCTGGAAATGGCCCTCATCCTACTCTTTCATCTTTTGATCAACAAATAAACGACAATTTTTGACGTAATGTGCATTTATTGAAAGATATCTCGGACACAGGACATAAAAGGCACAACCCCTGACGAATTTACACCCAACAAAAGTAATTTGTCACAATGTAAGGGGGCATGGTGGGCGAGCTGTCTAAGGCACCATACAAGTGATCCAGTGAGCTTGAGGTGCCAGGATAGAGCCCACCTCAAAATAGAAATCAGAAAGCAGTATGCCGTTGCCTTGCGTTAACTGCACAGATATGTTATAGGTTACAAAACATATCTATTTTCAATTTTTACTTACATTTCTTGGGCAGACTTGAAAATATTCCTCAGCTTACTTTCTGTTTCTCCAAAGAATCTGAGAAGAAAGAATGCACATGAAGGAAGTGTTGATCTTATGATGAAGCATCAACTTGCTACTATCAATAATCATCATCTATAAGTTTATCTTCCCTGTGAAGATCTAGATCATAATTAGTCTTCAGCAAACCATACCTTGTCATGATAAGCGACAGGATTGAGCTGCCACATTAGCTAGATCAGTTAAAGCCTGTCATCATATCCCAATATTATGATATCAATTACTGTACTTCCCAGTCAAGATTTGATTATTTACAGACTATATCATCTATCTGGAATATTGAAGAATGTAGAGTGAAGCAACATGACATAGAAACATGTTTATCTTAAGCCATAAAAGACTTGCTTAAATCAATCATCATCATGACATACTTGCTCCAGATCTGCGGACCTGTCACGTGCAGGACGTTGATGTTGAGACTAGCGGCCACAGCTCGTGCTAGAAGGGTCTTCCCTGTGCCGGACGGCCCATGGATCAACACTCCCCTGGGAGGGACAAGGCCTGAAAGAGAACAAGCATCAGTATATCAGGATAGTGTTTGTTGCCTCATGCCTGGCCACTCTCTGTGATATTCCAGCTATGGGAAGTGACCTGTAAATAAGTGAGTCTTGACCAAACACACCAGCAAATGATATTGTGTGCAAAGATCCATGTAATTTGTGGAGCACAGTGGTGTAGTGGTTAGCATGCTGGCCTCTCACGCCAAAGGCCCAGGTTCGGAATCCAGGTGGAGACACCAAAATTTGTGACCTGGGTCTCATACTGTGTTGTGTCCCTGGGAAAGGCACTTTGTCCACGTTGCACTCAGTCCACCCAGCTGTTCAAAATGGGTACCTGAGAAGCGGATGTACAGACCTATACGGTCGCGTGAAGCGCTTAGTAGCGGCTTTGAAAGTACAATTCCATCAGGGTAGTTATGTAACTCCAGAGAGCAGCATCGTGTTGGATTCTAGGCGCAAAAATTAGCATTATTATTATTATTAATCGGCACTAGGGCTGCAACGATTCGGTTTGATTTATTGACAATTGAATCTAACACCTTAGTTTCGATTTTTCGATAACCATTATTACTTTTTCGATTTGATATTTGAATACCTATTCAAATTATTTCCACACAGCCAGAACGTAATTTTGACTCCAACTCAAGCAGTTTGGAGCGCTGAAATAAGGTGAAACGTGATTGATTGACGCCAGGCTAATAATAAAATGACAATTGTTGTTAGTAGACATCGCCAAGTTGACGATGTATTTCATGATAAAAAAGCCAACTCTGAACGTTAAATAAAATCTGATGTTTTTACTTGCATGAAGAATCAAATCGAAAATGATTGAATCGAGGGTCCAATATCGAAAATCGAATCGAATTGAGCGTCCAATATCGAAAATCGAATCAAATCGAGGTCTGGGTGAATCGTTGCAGCCCTAATTGGCACACAAAAAGACACAATCAGTTAAGTCAGTGTATCTGACCACCCAAGTCGCTCTGTACGGCATGAATGGGTTGATGGGGTCAAATTCTAATAACAAATCCACACGATAAACATGCGATATACATTAAACGGATTACAATGGCACAGAGATACGAAATAAAGTGAATTAACTACTAGTAATCCATTACTTTTCCCAAACTAAACCTAGCTTCAAGAGCCTCATCAAAGACATCACTATCAGCATCATCAACACCATCCACCAAAGAACCATGAACCTGAAACTACCATTCTCCTCTCCCACAAGCGTCACCATCACCACCATTATTATATAGCGACAGGGACGGTGGGGTAGCCTAGTGGATAAAGCATTCGCTCATTGCGCCGAAGACCCGGGTTTGATTCCCCACATGGGTACATTGGGTGAAGCCCATTTCTGGTGTCCCCCGACGAGATATTGCTGGAATATTGCTAAGAAGCAGTGTAAAACAACACCAACTCAATATAGCAACACCATCATTAGCATGATGACAGACATCACTATCACCAACATTAACATCATCTACTACACACCAAAATTTGTGGCCTGGGTCTCATACTGTGTTGTGTCCCTGAGCAAGGCACTTGGTCCACATTGCACTCAGTCCACCCAGCTGTTCAAAATGGGTACCTGAGAAGCGGATGAACGGACCTATACGAAGCGCTTAGTAGCGGCTTTGAAAGTACAATTCCATCAGGGTAGTCATGTAACTCCAGAGAGCAGCATCGTGTTGGATTCTAGGCGCAAAAATTAGCATTATTATTATTATCGGTTCGATTCATTGAAAATTGAATCTAACACCTTAGTTTCGATTTTCGATAACCATTATCACTTTTTCGATTCGATATTTGAATACCTATTTAAATTATTTCCACACAGCCAGAACGTAACTTTGACTCCGACTCAAGCAGTTTGGAGCGCTGAAATAAGGTGAAACGTGATTGGTTGACGCCAGGCTAATTATAAAATGACAATTGTTGTTAGTAGACATTGCCAAGTTGACAATGGATTTCACGATAAAAAAGCCAACTCTGAGAGTTAAATGAAATCTGATGTTTTTACTTGTATGAAGAATCAAATCGAAAATGATTGAATCGAGGGTTCAATATCGAAAATTGAATCGAATTGAGGGTCCAATATCGAAAATCAAATCAAATCGAGGTCTGGGTGAATTGTTGCAGCCCTAATTGGCACACAAAAAGACACAATCAGTTAAGTCAGTGTATCTGACCACCCAAGTCGCTCTGTACGGCATGAATGGGTTGATGGGGTCAAATTCTAATAACAAATCCACACGAGAAACATGCGATATACATTAAACAGAGTACAATGGCACAGAGATATGAAATAAAGTGAATTAACTACTAGTAATCCATTACTTTTCCCAAACTAAACCCAGCTTCAAGAGCCTCATCAAAGACATCACTATCAGCATCATCAACACCATCCACCAAAGAACCATGAACCTGAAACTACCATTCTCCTCTCCCACAAGCGTCACCATCACCACCATTATGATATAGCGACAGGGACGGTGGGGTAGCCTAGTGGATAAAGCATTCGCTCATTGCGCCGAAGACCCGGGTTTGATTCCCCACATGGGTACATTGGGTGAAGCCCATTTCTGGTGTCCCCCGCCGAGATATTGCTGGAATATTGCTAAGAAGCAGTGTAAAACAACACCAACTCAATATAGCAACACCATCATTAGCATGACAGACATCACTATCACCAACATTCACATCATCTACTACATCAGTCACCTCCATCCATCCATCCATCCATCCATCCATCACCACTACCACCATCATGCTTTCTATAATAATCATCATCATCATCATCATCATCATCATCAGTGTTTCATTTCAGTTTCTACAGGGCCATATTCTCACCATAAGACTTGAACAGCTCCGGGTTGGTGAGGGGAATCTGCACCATCTCTGTTATCTGCTTCACTTGCTCGGACAAACCTCCAACGTCATCCAACATGACTCCAGCATTGCGTACGACATCAGCGTCCTCTTTAACATTAGCATCCACCACTGTCACCTTCGTAGACGACACAACTTTACAAAACTTTTCACATTTCCTTGATTTTCTGTGTCTATGGATGACTGGAGTTTGAAATGCTCGCGGACTGGTGACTTCCACTGTACTGGTTTTACTGTCAGGTGTTTTGGGTGTTGACACTGATTGGTTCATGCTGGAGCAGGTAGAGTCAGACTGACTGGATTCATCCTTCAACTCATTGAATGAAATGTCGGATAAGTTGAGACTGGCCATGCTGTCAGATAACGACAAGTCAGGTTGATTGACAGGTATCACTTCAACAAGACAGAGTTGCTTCACCATTGCCTTCAGGCATTTTACTTGAAATTCACACTGCTGACCAAAATATGATAAAGTAACTGCGTTTCCTTCACACAAATATCTGTTCACTGAAACAAAATGCATATGAAGTTTTAATATACATAGGTATACATAGGTGGCCTAAATCTGTGTGGTCCCCCAATATTGCTGGACATATGTCCATTTCAATGGTCAATCCTCCTGCCATCAGGGCTTTGTCAATTTACTATCTTACTTTCCACATTAGCCTGCTCTAAATTTGGCAGAATATAAAATGTTGCAATATCGATAACAATGTTGTTTCAAACACATGACTGACAATTTTTTAAATCTTACATTTCAATTTTTTTCAGGAAATCATAAGCAAATAAATTATCACAATATTTATGCTTTCATTTTGCATTCTACCTCTGTGTTAACAAAGAAAATGTGAAATAAAATTATCTCCCTCTTGTGGTATATTCAGTCTGAAGTTACATTCGTTATACATCTGAGAGTTCCCATGCTGCACTCTTTGAATAAGTACATTAACTGGTTTACTCCTAAAGTTAGACGTCCCAAAAGGCATACATCCCATTTGTCAGACAAATCAATCAGACGTGACTGTGATTACAACCTAGTCTTACCCACTGATATAATGAACCTGTCCCATACACTAACGAGAACGAGATGGTTTTCACATTTGTACAGAAATACTTTGATCAGAATACCGGTACTAATGTTGACTGACTTACTCAATCACTGGGTTCTCAAAATGTGTTTTCACAATGTTCAATTTTATCATAACATGATTATAGATTATTTGATGAAGTTGGGCATTTGCTCAGACTTGGTTGACATTCTTGCCTGTATAGTGAATGATGGGAAAGATGTGAAATCTTAAATCTTGAATGATTTGATTGACCATTTAAATTATCTTGTTAAATTAACATATTTTGTTTTTATGCCAAATAAAGTCATTACAAAGTCATCCATTGATCATTTAAAGTATCTTGTTGAATTAACTTATTTTATTTTATGTCAAATAAAGTCATTGTCATAATCTCTTCTCTTTATGTTTGGATTAGTACATTTGGACTAGTCCATTAATTAACGAAGGTAACAGTGTAGTGAACCTCAGTGCAATCAACCATAACCTTTGTTGTTTTAACACGTCTAACTTTTGGGACATCTAACTTTTGGGAGGACACCCATTAACTTGTTCCCAAATGCATTGACCCTAAAAAATTGACCCCCAAACTTACTTAAAACCCAGTAAACTACAATCTCAAGCCAAATGTTTTTTCCAATACCTTTCAACTATGCACTTGAAATTTCAAGCCTTCATTGAACAGTAGCACTGTATCAGTACTGAAAAATCACTATCAAATTTCCATAATATTTACCATCGCAAAATGTAACATGTCAAAAACATTATGGAAGTCATTTTGAAAAATATGAAGATGTAACTTACATAGTTTATGTTTGAAGCTGTTCTTACAGTTTTTATCAGAGTATACTGGTCTCCATTCTCTGGAAGAAAACAGGAATGAAATCAAAATGATGTCAATGAAACTACTAAAATAAGAACGTTTCTGCAAAACATAAAATACTGTGATAACTGAAATTCACCCAGCTTGATCACCTGATCCTAAATGTCACCTCTCACAGAACAACACTAGTCTCTGGGGACCATTTTAACCCAGACTCCTGATGAGGCATTAAGTCCTGTTAGTTATCATAATATCTGAAACAGTACAGTCTATTTGTAACTACATCCCATGCTTACTTGGATTCTAATATGACTTCTTCAGCAAGTGCTTCCACTCCACCAAAACTCTCCACTGTGACGACATCCTCCTTCTTGCTGCCGATGTCAGCCAAGGTTTTCTCATCAACGTAGACACCAGTTAAACTCCCAACAGTTGAAGGCCAACATGTCTTGACAACTTTAGAGTTGATAATACAGGGTTTTCCTAGAGCAAGGCCACATAGTAGCATAGTGCTAGGATGTACAGCAATTATGTCATCTTTACGTGTCTTTGGCACCTTCAGATCTAAAAGATAAACAGAAAGCATGGGCTGAAAACAACAGTCATGACACTTCTAGTATGTTTCCAGCTAATAATCCTCATTAGTAAGTCATATTCATAAACAGGAATTTGGAAAATACACATTGGTTAGTCAGAGGTATCAAATCCCAGCAAACAGCTGATTGAAACAGCTGATTTTACAGCTGCATTAAACCAACACAAAACAGAGAAGTCTTCCATTTTTACTGTATTAACTCATAACTGCTGAAACCAAAGACTTTATTGTGGTGTTTTCTGAGTAGAGCAAGTAAGCCTTAAGTTCATCAATAATTTCTTTTGCAATGACAGAATTTTCAAAAGATCGATTTTGATCAGTGACAATTGCCGAAATCTTACTTTGAGATGATGTTTTAGAGAGCGAAATGCACACATTTCCGTGATGTCATCTCTCTTGATAAACAATGTATATCTAACTATCTGACCAGCAATTTCATTAGATGATATTTTCAGAAGAACTACTCAGAAATGGGTGTTACAAACATAACTAGCTGCATTAATGCAATTGTTTCTCTCTGTAGTTCATAGGTGGTTGGGTTTAATTAAGAATAACCCAGTGGTTTGTGGCTGCATGTACTAGCCCAGACTTAGGCTGGAGTGCAGCTCACTGAGATAACCATTATGAATACTGACTGACTGACCCCGGCTTTTAGCAATATTCCAGCAACATCATGGCGGGGGACACCAGAAATGGGCTTCACACAATGTACCCATGTGGGGATTCGAACCCGGGTTTTCAGCGTGACGAGCAGACACTTTAACCATTAGGCTACCCCACCGCCCCTTTACCCATGACAAATTTAACATGTGAACCCTCAGGCTGCAATTTTGGTCTCTATAATCAAGTTAGTGGGTTAAATCTAAAGGTTACTTAGCTCGAAAATGCAAAATATTTATGCAAAATTTCTCACTGATTTTGTACATGACACACGGGAGGGTTCACTTACTTTGGACATAAATTTTTAGGGAGGTCATTCACATTGTACATGCTTCTCCATGAAAATCATTATCACCCCAGGGCCTCCTATCAATAAATTATGAACGGTCCCTTAAGCGAAACATTACCCATGCTTTGAATGCCACAAAGTTAACCCTTGGTTCATTGCACACCATGCTTCCATTTCTGCCCACAATTGTGTGATCTAAAATTTCAAACATTGTCCAAATATACTCTGTAAGACATTCCAAGTTTTATCATAAGATATTTACTTTATACCAAAATGCTGCATCTTAATAAGATAAAGAAGTTCACATCCATAATAGTATCCTGTCTTATTGTTACCAAAAAATCCAAAGGCAATATGGCATATGACATACAGTTAATGTTTACAAAGTCCATGTGTGAGTGAGTAAGTTTGGTTTTAAGGCGCTTTTAGAAATATTCCAGCAATATCACAACTGGAGACACCGGAAATGGGCTTCGCACATTGTACCCATGTGGGGAATAGAACCCAGGTCTTTGGCGTGACAAGTGAACGCTTTAACCACTAGGCTACCCCAACGCCCCCAAAGACTATGTCTGACTGACTGACTGACTGAGTTTAGTTTTACGCCGTTTTTAGCAATACTCCAGCAATGTCACGGCGGGGGACACCAAAAATGGGCTTCACACATTGTGCCCATGTGGGGAATCGAACCCAGGTCTTCGGCGTGACGACTAACGCTTTAACCACTAGGCTACTGCACCACCCCCCAAAGTCTATGTAATTCTGGTAATTGAAAAGTACACAAGAAGTGATACCTGCACCATTTCTACAGCAATTTCAGACTAGGTAGTGAGTGAGTGAGGTTTTACACTGCTTTTAGTAATATTGCAGCAACATCACGGCAGGGGACACCAGAAATGGGCTTCACACATTGTACCCATGTGGGGAATAGGACCCGGGTCTTTGGCGTGACAAGTGAACGCTTTAACCACTAGGCTACCCCAACGCCCCCAAAGTCTATGTAAATCTGGTAATTGAAAAGTACACGAGAAGTGATACCTGCACCATTTCTACAGCAATTTCAGCCTAGGAAGTGAGTGGGTGAGTGAGGTTTTACACTGCTTTTAGTAATATTGCAGCAACATCACGGCAGGGGACACCAGAAATGAGCTTCACACATTGTACCAAATCATGGGGAATCGAAAGCACAGCTAAGAAAGAAGCATTATTTTTCCAACTGAACCTTTGGAAGTGTCAGTAACTGTTGCTGAAAGTGTCATTGTCAGCACAGGCAGGGGTGGAAATAACTTTAAAATTGCTAGTGTACTCCGGTACAGTGGCACATGTAAAATCACTTGCCCTGATAATTTTTCCACTATACCGGCCGTTTTCTTGTTGATTTTATAAACAAACAACATAATTAACATTGGAATATCAACTGGACACCGGTACAGTGTGATATACAAATTTGCTTGCCCGACAGAAAAAAAACACTGGACTCGGGCGTCGGGCAATGGGTTATTTCCACCTCTGACAGGTACTACAGATGTGTACCCCAGATATGTTTCTGCAAACAGAAATATACCCTAGTCAAAATATGAACACAGAAACGTACCAAAGGGCGAATCCATTCTGCATTGCGCAGTTTCTTGATCGAAACTGTCATATTGTTGCATTAGATGCATTTGATTTCATTATGCAAGAAACAAGCATCCACAGTAGCAAATATTTCACAATGCACAATTTACAACTGGTAATCAGCTGAACGGTAACAGCTACATGTATATGTTTCAGTTTGGGGTTGTGGAACATGGACTCGTCCACCGTTCAGGATAGAGTTTCTGTATACTCACTTTGTTAAGGGTACATTTCTGCATACATACCTACATATCTGTAGTACCTATGCCGATGACCCCTTCAGCGAACTGTCATTGGTTATCTGCTATGCTGTCTGAACAACATCATGAAAACTGTAACTGTCTCATTCAACCATCCTCAATAATCTCCAGGGTATACGTTCTGATAAATATCCACTACACCCTGGATGCCTCTACGGCTTGGCCCAATGATTTTATTACCTCCCTTGGCTGGCTTTTTATCCAATCAGGTGTCTACGCTGGGAAGTTGAGCATTCCAGTCACAACTCACTTTCACTTCTTTTATCTAACTGATTAAACTTGGCAACATAATTGTTGCAGAGGTACTCTGAAAGTGGTAGAAAGAGTTCTTGCATATATTTTTTAAGGTTTCAGACCTGTCAATTTGTCTGTATGATTTCCCCCCCAAATCTGAGTCGCACTGCAAACAAACCTTCGTGGCTGCGACAGCTATCTTTGCTGAGACTGGCAAGCTCGGTTGTAAGGGAGGCTTAGCCGATTGGCTACTGTGAGAATGTGGAGCCAGCAAAGGGAGGTAATAAATTATCGGGCCAAGCCATAGATGCATCCAGGGTACTAGTGGAGATTTATCGTAATGTATACCCTGGAGACTATCGAGGATGCATTCAACTTACTTCATCAAGCTATCTATGGGGTGTTCTAATTATTAGACTAATATTGATTTGTTCCAGAAGTCTAGATAGGCTAAAATATCTGCATAAAATAAGCATTGAAATTTCCAAAATATGCACTAAAATATATCTGTAAAGTCCCAAATATGCAAAGGAAATTACAGAAATGTTTTGGTTAGTTGTTGACTTGCTTACCATGACTTACCGGTAAAAACAATGCGTAACAGTAAGTAGCTAACTGTCAAATGTTATGAGAGAATCGTGTAGATTATTGAATGAATTTCACTATTAAACTGTATACTTTATGAACTACAGGGACCGCCTCCGTGGTGTAGTGGTTAGGCGTCCGCCCGGAGAGTAAAAGGTCACAGGTTCAATCACCGGCTGCGTCATACCAAGAGACATTAAAATATGGTACTTGTTGGTCCCTGCCTGGCACTCGACATTAATGGGTAAAACAAGGACTGGTCGGCTCTGGGTCAGTATAATGTGTCTGAGTGGGGTATTCATGCTTGACTGCGGCATGGTATCTCAGTGAGCTAGCACCATAAAATCAGCCTAAGTCTGGGCTAGTACAAGCAGCCACACATACACACGCATGCACGTCGTCATATGAGCGAAATATTCTCCAGCACGACGTTAAACCCTGTTTCTCCTCACCTATGAACTACAGAGAGAAACAATTGCACTAATGCAGCTAGTTATGTTTGTAACACTCATTTTGATTAGTTCTTCTGAAAATATCATCTAATGAAATCGCTCGTCTTGTCAGAAAGTCTAGATATACATTTGTCACTGATCAAAATCGATCTTTTGAAAATTCTGTCATTGCAAAAGAAATTATTGATGAACTTATTAGAAATTGTTTTGAATCAGAGATTGTTATCGACAGAATATTGACAGATTTGCTTAACACCTAACTCTGTCACTCATGCACCGGCGAAGAAACATGACAGCAATAGACTTTTGAAAAAAACTCAGGATGCATGGAAAATTAAGTTTCCGTGGTTATCTTTCCATAAACAATCTGATAAAATTAGACCATGCTGCAGTTAACAGAACCAGTTTAAAATGACATTCATGCCGACATGTTTGTATTTCAATATGGTCACTGTACAAGTCAAATAATAAAGTAACTTAAAACTTCATATATTTTGTATTTCTCTTTAAACAAGGGCCATTAACATGTGTTAATGTCTGAAGTACAAACAACTGGAGCCCTATAGTTATCTTTTTAAAAAAATTTGTTTAAATTACTGACATAGAAAATACCCACTTTTAAAAAGGATGGGTTTCGCCAAATTTGAGTACCTACTGAAGATCAGTAGTACCCATTTATAACAGACGCCATGGGTAAAATACCCAGATTGCAAAAAGCTTATCTAGAGCTCTGTGTTCCCTGTTTGTTACCAGGTTAGAGGGTGTTGGTAGCAATTAACTTGATATGGATGAGAAGAAGCATTGTCATCAAGCTTAACATATTGTAGTGTTTTCCATACAACATGGTGTCTGTAATTATTCCACAATTTATTTTCCAATCAATTGAAATAGGGTCCTACAACCGATGATGATATGGTTACTAAGCCCACCTGCTGAAGCCAAGGAGGGGGAGATAACTCCATGCAAAATACCGTCCTTTACAAAACCGTGATTACAACGTTCGTCACCGCATTGTTCTCTGTGAATGTTGACATCACGATCACTGACAATTAGTTTACACTTCACACATTCGTTCCATTCCGTCTTCCGACCTTTCTGTTTCTTCGACATTTCAGTTCTCACTTGTAAAGTTCATAATGTGAAAGAAAACGATTTATCCAAATCACACATGGTTGCGGCCATGACACTTTTATGATCTCACGAAATCTCGTTTACCGCCTTTATTTTACGGGCCGTTATATAGACAAATACTGTACGTGCCATCTTTTTGTATTGTTTAGACTATATCGGTTAGGCCTTTGTAGCCGACAAGGATAATAATAAGACCTAATTAACCCTTGGGGCGAGGGATTGATGAAAACAGTTATTTGTCACGTGATAAAAAACGAGATTTGTGAGCAGCCATATTCGGGTAGTTTCTTCAGCAGTTGTAACGTTCGGGAAGATGTTACGTGGAGAATGAGGAAACTTGTAAACGTACTCTGACAAGGAACTTGTCGATTGTTTATTCGCCATATGTTAGGTCTCCATGTGCAACAATAGGCGTTAACGTAGGAGACCACCACAATGATTATTGAAAATCTGGATGCTTTCAAAGTGTGGCTATCGAAAACACTGGATCCGATGTGAGTCTTAGTCGAAATAATGTGATTGTGAAATGTTTTATTACTGAATTGAGGACTTTATGTTGTCACTCCATGGTTGGTTATACTTTTGAGAGCCACATCGGACATCCTGAGGTTTTCTAAGAAAATAGCTCAGTCTCATTTTCGTGATTATTACTTTTTTGCCCTTGCGTGTTTTTTCGCATGGTAAACCATCACTTTCAGTTTTACTTTGACATACTATCTGTTAAATGAACATACACCTGAATAATTATTCACTGGTTGCAACTACATGTTATATTCCTACAGTTACATTATTGAATAAATTATCACAAGGTTATTCAATAACCCATACACAGGAAACGTTATTGAGAATAGTGTGGACATAATTGTACCTCCATAAATCAAGTACCTATCAAGTACATTAAATAATGTGACTGAAAATGTTTTGTAAAAGAAATGAATCTGTTAACACAAAAGGTTGTCTTTTTAGCATTTCAAAGTAATGTGTTTGCCAGAAACAAGTTTATTATTTGGGGAAAATTCCATTTGGGTTTTAGAAGCTAGCAGTCACTGGGACAGCTTGTGAAGTATCATCATGCTAAATATGAACTGTATGACATGGGTCAATATTAAATTGGTTTGCAAGTACAATATAAATTCATGATTATGTATGAACAGGAACATTTCTTTTAGAACAACCTGTAAGGTTAGTTTTGTGTATTACTATGAGTGACAATCAACCAATATGTTGACCATAATGACCAAATTTCAGTTTAATAAGCCTAATTTCTTAAGTATGTGAGGGGAATTGAATGCATTCCAGTCAATTTCCCACGTCTGTATACACAGTGTACAACCAAATCTTTGTGATTGGGTATTGAACTGATGCTATGGTGTCTGTAATAGTGATATGCATCACAGTTATTGCATATATCTTTATTTTTGACTTAAGTAAAATATTTTTACTCATTAGCAAATGTCTGGGCCTGTCCATCATGATCATGCCCATTTGTTTCAACAGCTGTGATGCGGACCCATCAACTTTGTCTCGCTATGTATTAGCCTTGGTCAAGAAAGAAAAGTCTGAAATTGAACTCAAGGATATCTGTATGGACCAGCTGGATGTGTTTTTGCAGTCAAGTATGTTTCTTGTGTTATGTGTTTGGTATGTTAGGTATAATGTACATGGTAATGTAAAACAGCATGTTGCAAAATGCTCTAAAATAAAAATGATTTTCATAATGTAAGTATTTATTATGGTGTAATGATTCAGCGATACAGTATTGCCACCTTATTCGAGGCCATTGATACAAGTCTTCAACTTACCACTCATGTAATGTCATTCATACTATGCATTGCATTACAAGTTATATCGGTATGGATATGCCTAGACCTGAATAGACAGATATTCAGCACCAGGTCAGAAGCAAAGTTTTCCCTATTTATCAGAATTTATAAAAATATGATATTGACACTGATTAAGAAAAATCCATTTTAATCTTTTTTACATATACTGCCTGCCAGAGACCCTTTTGAATCATAGAAAATCCCTGGTTGGTGTAGAAACATTTGGATAGTAAGAGACAGGAATTTAGAAATTTCAATTTAAATGAAATGCTAATTGAAACTTTTCAAAGAGTAGTGAAAGTGACTAATATTTCCCTGTTGTCTATGAATAGCATCAAGTTGACAATGCCCTTAACAGGGGTGGAAATAACTTTAAAATTGCTAGTGTACTCCGGTACAGTGTCACATGCAAAATCACATGCCCTGATAATTTTTCCACTATACTGGCCGATTTTCTTGTTGATTTTTTAAATAAACATAATTAACAGTGGAAAGCAAATGGACACTGGTACAGTGTGATATGCAAATTTGCTTGCCCGACAGAAAAAAACACTGGACTGGGGCGTCGGGCAATGGGTTATTTCCACCCCTGCCTTAACCTACATGTTTCTGCCCTACAAATTACAATCATGACAATATACCACCTTCAATTTCAGAAGTTTAAGTCTAAATATTCACGGTTGTGATTTATCTGCAGAAAGAAAATATTATAATGCACACATGAACCAAGAATGAGGTGTATTGCTGTGATAGATGTATGTGCCAATCCATGAAGAATTCATGACAAACTTATCATATTTGTGTTGGCGTTGGAAACAAATCTTGCTGGAAAATGTGTGATGAGAGGGTTTATACAGTGTAATAAAATAGCATAGTATGTATCTCTGGTTATCGATATAGATGATAGAGATTGTGGCAGTGGGATTCGACCAAACAGAGGTACTAGAATCTGTACTTTACTGAGAAAGTGTAATCCCAAATTTAACGTGTTAAATTTGAAGGCAGTGGGGTAGTCTAGTGGTTAAAGCGTTGGCTTGTCACGCCGAAGGCCCGGGTTCGAATCCCCACATGGGTACAACGTGTGAAGCCCATTTCTGATGTCCCCTGCAGTGATGTTGCTGGAATATTGCTAAAAGCGGTGTAAAGCCAAACTCAGTCAGTCAGTTAAATTTGACCCCTTTCTACATGGCATTGTGTATTCTCAATCTTTTTACAAAGCCCTAATAGTATCCTATATTTCACTGACAAACACAATTTACAAAGCATTGAAACCATGTGTTAACATTCTTGAAAAAGATCTTGAATTTCGATATCCCATATCAGTATGATCGATACCATCACACACATCATACTTGTTTCACACAGAATTTTATACAAGGGTTTTTATGGTGGTTTAGTGCCATAGATTGAATTTTATATCTTAATGTCAATGACATTTTTCAGAGACAAAGGCATTTGTGGAAACACTATTCACTGCATTGAAATCAAAATCCTACCTAGCATCTCTAGTGCCTGATGCTGTCAACAACACACCTGTGGCTCCAGTCCCTAGTCAGACAACCAACAACGTAACAGCCAAACCACCGGAAGCTGACAAAAAGAAAGACAGGCCAGAAAAACAGGTACTGTGGATTATGTAAATATTTTCAGGTTATTTGCCACGTGTGGTTTTTCTAGACCTGCTCAGTCGGCATAAAATGTCATTTACAATTCTCAAGTCGTATTGAAAATGTCCCAATTCATAATACCCCACATGGGTACAATGTGTGAAGCCCATTTTTGGTGTAAAACCAAACTCGCTCACTCACTCATTTTTCTGTATAAGTATCACTGCATTAATTATGTAAAAATGTTCATATATTCACAGTTAAATAGTATTATGCCACAGAACCCTGCTATTTTCCTAATCATTAATCGGCACTTGTTGCAATATATTTGTCCAGATATCTGATGATGGCAGTCGGGATGGTTCCAAGAGAAGACGATCAAGATCGCCAAGTCCCAGATCTCGAGGAAGAGACATGTATGAAATAGTTTCTGTTTTGAGTAAAGCATGTATGATATTTTATATTAAATGGTATGCTAGTAATGTAATTCGAGATCCTAAACTTCAGGAGAATGATGAACATTTAAGATAGCAACGTTTGAGAAATTGAAGGGAAATTTTGTTGTTTGTGTTATCAGAATCAATGCTTGGACATTTAAGGACAGTTTTTGATCAAACATGAATCAGGTGATCAGATATTGGTTTCATTGTAACCCAACCACTGGTTTCTATGGCACTGAGTTATTTACAAGTTGCTGCGATTATTGAATATTGCTGAATTTGAAATAAATCAACAAACAACAAGTTAATTAACTCTTTCAACACCAGTCAACCAGAGGCATTTACTGCCATGACACCGAGTTCCCAGGGACTCTAAGATCACAGATGAAGCCTATGTTTATGAAGGAAATTATAAGCTTGTAAAACGTTATTGCTACTACATTTCATACACCATTTGAAAGGTCTAATCCCATTGTTGATAAATATGAAGTTTATTTTTATAATGTTATTCAAATAATACAACTACAACTTAAATAGATTTATTTTTGTAATGAAAATGCAAGCTTACATTTATAATGTCTAGATAAACCACGAAAGAAGCAAAAACTATGGCGATTTTTTTCCATTTGTGACATGGCATAACATGCCCGTGCCTTTTTCGTTATTATAAAAAGATTTCTTAAATAAAATGTATGGTCGCCTATTTTCTGATATCAGTGGCTTTCTGCTCAGTAACATGACAGAACAACGGAAAATACCTCCGTTTTCGAAGCTTCTTATGAATAACATGGGAGGCGAATCATTTGATGTCGGGTATCGTTCGAAAGCTCTGAACATCAACAACATCACTGTACCCCTTGCCAAGAGTATTTTCACAGTTATAAGAAGCGATTTTATTGGATAAAGATTGGTTTCTAATGACGCTTTTTCGCCACAGTCTGCTATAAGGGTCAAGATTGGTCAAAATCAGACATGTGACCTAAGGCAGCCAATCATATTACGGCAATGGATACCATTCTTGTAAACGAAAACCTTTAGATTTAGGACGAAAGTTTTGGGTAAAATAATGCTATTTTGAACATATTAATGTTAATTGACATCTAAGCATTGCTGAGTGTCCACAAGAAAGTAACTCTTTGATATTGCTCAGAGGACCATTGGGCCTAATGAAAAAATTGTGGTTCCGATTACACCTCTTTAAAATTATGGGTAGGAAGGTCGGAATTCAAAAATCATATCGACTTTCTCTATCAGAATGACCGATATCTGTTGGTGCCGGGGAAAAACAATGATTTTTTCCTTATCCTGACTCGTGATCTTTTGCTTATCTCCCTTTCCCTTACGAATGGTAGTGGAACACTTGAATCCCTTGTAGTTCCTGAAGCGATGTAAAAATACACTCACCCACGAGTTACCTCCCTCATTTCCCGCGCAAACAGTCATGTGACCAGCCTTACTTGTCACTCTCTCCCTTTTCGGTTGGGCGAGCACTGGAGTCCCATATACGGCAGATATCCTTTATATTTAGATCCTATTTATCAAAATTATGCTGTGTATGGTATTTGGCTATAACTATCATGCATTCGTTGAATAAAATTCTTCTAACTTGTTACACTTTTTCATCGTAATGTAACATGTTTACATTTCATGAAATCTTGCATTGTTTGCAGGCACCGGTTATCTGTGGCTGATCCTCACCCCAAATGCCCATCGTGCATTAAACCATGTTCTTCCAGCTTACGTTGTACATATTGCAGTGATTTATCAAATTTGCAATTTAATCAATATTTGTCTTATATCTATAGACGTGCCATGGATCGGGTGAGGAAGTCATCACAAGTCACGGTTGATAAAAGCTGGAGATCAAGCCGGTAACCGTAGGTTGTTTGCTACTGCAGAAATAAATAATTCTGGGGGCTATGTTGAGTACGTTGCTGGGGCAGTCGTTTGGTACAGGGTCAAAAAAGAGGTCTGCTACGACGGAGTTGACGCCCTCTCGGAGCAAGAAAAAGACTACTGCTTCATCCACAACGCAGAAAAGGGCATCCATTACTAGGTCTACATCGAAATCTACACGACCTAGCAAGTCAACTCATCAGAGGTCGTTAATGAGGAAATTATCCTACCGCTGGAGGCAGACGTGTTTGATGAACCACCGTCACTTCTGCCTGAAGTACCTATTAGATCGGCGACACAATCGACCTCCACGACTACTAGATCGTCTCCTGCAACAACAGCGGGCCAGCTGTTTGACGACCAACCACCAACTTCTCAACGCAGTGAAGTTGAAGCACACAACACATCAGCGTTTGCGAACGCTTCATCAACGCCGAATCAGTTCCAGTCTACGCAGATCTTCGATCGATGCGACTTTATGAGGCAATTTACTACTCAAATGATGGCCATGATGGAATGACGTTTTGATGAGGAAGCGAAGGCGCGACAGGAACGTTCATCAACTGACAACGTTCGCAAACCCTCAGACCTACGCGAACCCAATACGCCTCTCAGATCTACGTTGGCGAACGGAGTACGTTCGAAGGTCATCACAATCGGACGACTCTGTCATCATAGAACAGGTTGGAAGGTCCGCATAGGCTACTAACTCGACAACTTCGTCTGCGAACCCTCAATGTTCGAGAATGTCTAGGAATCCATCCCCAAGAGCCAGCCGTTCCAGATCTACATCCCACAGCTCTCATACGCGAAGAGAAGGTTCGCGAAGACAGGGTTCGCGAGAAGGAAGTTCGCCAAGGGAACGTTCGCGAGAGACTAGTTCGCGAAGGGATGGATAAAGAGCAGAGGTTTCGCGAAGGGAGGAATCATGAGACATACGTTCACGAAAGGATGTGTCACAACATTTCGCGAAAGGAAGGTTCGCACACGGAGGATTCGCGAAGGCATAGTTCTACAGAACAAGGACTATCTGATGAACATACCGACTACGTCTTCTCAGATACGGAAGTTACAGCTTGGATAGCTAATAGATTGAACTTAGAGAGTCTCCCTCCAAGGAGCCTATATCCAAGGTGCCTTTGAATCTACGCACATCTGTTCACAAAGCTTCTAGATTCCAGAATCAACATCTGCCAGCATTTAATGCAAGGAAATTCCCCTTACATCACATGGACCCCTTCATGAGAGCGCCGGACTCTCGGAACAAGGTCAACAAGGTGGAGGATAAGAAGTTGGCTCTACTTGATACAGCGACAAGGAGATCCTTCTTCGGATTAGCAAGGTCCAGAGCAATCCATGAGGCAATGATTAACAAGTTCCAGAACCCCAGTTCGGAAGAAGATAGAATGATATTATCTGGTCTGCTCACTCAGAAAAAGGACCAATACTTCATATCGGATCATCTGGCCTCAACGTCGACGGGTCTCACCTTATTACGGAGACAGGGTCTACTGGCATCGTGTTCCTGGAGTGACAAATTTACCAAACCGCTATTTAGAGCTCCTTGGGCGGCGCCTATCATCTTCGGAGGTGAGCTAGAGGAAGCAGCTAAGGAAGCTACTCACGACTCAAGGAAAGTCATGATGATCAAGTCTATAGATACTCTAGCTAACGTCATTCGTCATACTTCACAGAAGTACAACAGCAAATCGGAATTTTCTGGTATCCAGAAGGCTAAGGGGAAGAAGTTCTCCATCTTCAGAGGCGGGAAGAGATCTTTTCGTCGCCCATCCGGAAACTACAGAGGAAACTCAGGGAGAGGACGTACTCCCAGAGGTATTAGAGGGGCTAGACGCTGAAAGTGGGGTTCGGAACGACTGGGTGCTTCCACCCCGAGCCGTTCCTGTACAACCATCGACAGTGGGTGGACGTCTACAAAGGTACTGGGAAAATTGGGGAATACTGGAGGACGACTACGTCTCACAGGTACTCTGAGAAGGGTACAGAGTGCAGCTCAAGGCCACACCACCGTTAACCCTCAGACCGATGGTCTTCAAGTATTCAGACGAGCAAGCAGACAAACTACAAGAAGCCATCAACTAACTTCTAACCAAGAATGCGGTAGAATGAATAGATCAAGATCATCTCACGCCAGGCTTCTACTCCCCAATTTTCCTAGTACCCAAGAAGAATTCCAAAGAGATATTCAGGTTGATTTACAACATGCGGAAATTCAACCAAGACTATCTACTCAAACCGGAAAGGTTCAGAATGATCCACCTACCTCAACTCAGACTACTAATTCGTCCAGCAGACACTATGGCCAGCATAGACCTACAGGATGCATATCTACACATCCCTATACATCCGGAATCAAGGAAATATCTATGATTCCTATTCAGGGGTCAGCACTTCCAATGGAACGTCCCACCGTTTGGAATATTGTCAGCTCCGTGGTTATTCACACGAATAACCAAGCCCATAGTCGCCTACCTACATCATCGAGGTCTACACAATGCCTTTTATCTGGATAATGGCAAACAGGTTCATCAAAGTGCCAATCAACTCAGACAGCAGCTGAAGTTCACAATCAAGTTGCTCACGCAACTAGGATGGCTAGTGAACCTGATGAAGTCGGAGTTGGAACCAAAACAAGATCTGCAATTCCTGGGGATAAGATTCATCACAACACAGAATCGAATTGTGACCTCAAAAGATCGTTGGGCCAAGATACAAGCCATGATTCCTCAAGCAGTCATCTCCAGGCCTACCAAAGAAAACTTTCCCACTGTGCAGAAAAACGCAAGAAAAGCCCACATAAATCGTGGAAATAGCAACATAAACACATTACCTCGCTACTGAAACAGTAAAAACGGCAACGAAAAACTATGAAACTGCAACATTTTTATATCAACGAACTTTGACCTCTACTGCGCATGCGCATTACGATCCGGGCTTCTTTCCAATTTCCGAGCAACCGTGAATCGGCTTGCGTAGAAAAAGTATTAAATATGTCGAAATAATTGCTGCCAATCGTTTCATAAGAATGGAAAGTAAACTAAACAAGTGTGCACACAAGTATCATGATGATAAATGCCAAATAACACAACAGAAATACTTAAACAGGAATGTAACTTTTGTCCAAGCTGGAAAATGTCAACATGCGGTCAAGACTTCCTCTTCCATCTGCGCATGCGCAAAATCGAAGTTGCGGGCTCCTCGTTTTACGATGCAGTGTTAGCGATTTAAAGTTGCCGTTTTTATTGTTTCAGTAGCGAGGTATTATGTTTATGTTGCTATTTCCACGATTAATGTGGGCTTTTCTGCGTTTTTCTGCACAGTGGGAAGATTTTCTTTGGTAGGCCTGATCTCACCGTTAACACTACGAACATGGCAATGTCTACTCAGTCTACTAACCTCAGCACAAGACTTGACTCGCACAGGAAGGTTACAACTACGGCCATTGCAACGATTCCTGGCAAAACATCTGGACATCAGCGACCCTATATTGCTACCAGATCATCTCAAAGTGTACCTACTTTGGTGGACTCACAGGTCGAATATCTTTCGGAGGGACACACATCTCTACACAGATGCATCGCTACAGGGATGGGGTGCACATCTCAACAACCAAGTTGCATCAGGGAAGTGATCAAATGCAGAACAGCATCTTCACATCAATCTGCTAGAAATGAAAGCTGTGATCAACGCCGTACAACTATGGTCGAGTTCGCTGAGCAACAGAATGCTGATGATCCACACGGACAACTCCACAGTGGCATTCTCCATAAATCGGCAAGGATCGCCAAGCCTATTGCAGCTCACATTCCAGTTGTTCAACATCACAGAGAAGGCAAACATCTGGATAAAGGCGTGTCACATACCGGGAGCCAAGAACGTACTAGCAGACGTTCTTTCCCGACCACTGCACCCATCACCCATGGAATAGATGCTCCATCCAGAAGCGTTCCGGGTCATCATAAGGTCATCCACCTATGATCTTACTACCAAAAGTACTGTTGAAGATCAAACAGACACAAGAGCTACAACTGATTTTGGTCGCGCCTTATTGGCCAGTGAGAGTCTGGTTCCTAGACCTAATAGAAGATCTTGGAAGTCCAGCCCTCAAACTTCAAGAATGGCCGAACCTACTCAGACATCCGCACACCAAGCAAGTCCACAGGAACCCAACATTGTTCCAGCTACACATGTGGACCGTATCAAAACCTGTCTGAAGAAAAGAGGATACTCTGCCAGAGCAGCGAAAGCAGTAACCCTAGCGTTACACAGATCTACTCGCAATTTGTATGAGGACAAATGGCAGAATTTTTAGCAATATGCAGGGCGGAAAGGCTTCACAGCTATGAGCCGTCTCATCCTCAAGTGGCGGAATATCTATGTCACCTTAGATATACAAGACATCTGAAAGGTTCGACATTATCTTCATATCTGGCAGCTATTAGTACAGTCATCACTATGAAGTCAGGCATCAAATTGACGAAAGTACCAGAATTACTAGCTCTGCTGCGATCTTTTAAACTGGAGGAACAGCAAAAGAAATTCAGAGCACCAGCCTGGGATCTGAATGTAATTCTACGTCATCTCATGAGCGATGCCTACGAATTTCTAGAGCAGACTACCTTCGAGCTATCTAGGATCCTCGGACCAGAGGACACCCAGGGCTTATCCTTGTGTCCTGTCAGAGCCTTGAAGATATATCTTCAAAAGACTAAAACAAGAGAAGAAAATTCAAGAGCCTGTTCAGCCCCTTGTCGACGGAGACAGCAGTGGAAGTCTCAAGAATGACAATATCTTTTTGGATGAGAGCCGTTATACTAAGAGCCTACAAAGCAGCAGAATTAGAGCCTCCAAGAGCCTCCAACCCACACGAAGTCAGAGCACTGGCGTCAACACTGGCTCTGCATGGAAATTGCTCTATATAATCGATCATGGAGGGCTCCCTCAGGAAGTCAGATACGGTGTTTGCCAGCCACTACCTCCGAGACATAGCCATCGAAGACTTCTCCGGCATTCACCAGTTTGGGCCTCTTGTTGTAGCACAACAACTAACCGTTCCTCAAAGACGCCGAGTTGAAATCTTACCCTTTATCACGTTGACTTGTTGATAACTTTTACTATGGAAAAAGTTCTAACTTGAAAGTCCATGCGCACAGTCTAGACTAGGCTAGCATGAGTGATTACAGGTAAAGATCTTACCTGTACGTAAAGGGGTCGCAACTCATTTATGATAAAGATCTTATCATAATCTATGGGTTGTTATAGATAACTAGTAAAAAGAAGATACTAGTATATCTTAAGCCACATGAATCTAGAAGATTCACTTGTCTGAGAGAGAAGTAAGACAAGATGGTGGTCCCCCAGAGTTATAATGGAAGTTGGAAGATTATGATCTAGGAAATGCTGTCACGCAGCGCCCATGGGGGGGATACAGCTGTTGAATCCAGGAAGTGCCTTGACCCACCACCAATCCGTAGGATTCTATAAGCAAAAGATCATGAGTCAGGATAAGGAAAAATATGTAACTTTTTAAGTAAAATGGATATTTTATACTTATCCTAACTCATGAGGAGAAGCCCTCCCAACCTCCCCGCTGGAAACACTTCGGATTTCACAGTAGATCCAGGTGCATGGGCAGAAAAATCAGGAGAGAGTGACAAGTAAGGCTGGTCACATGACTGTTTGCGCGGGAAAGAAGGGAGGTAACTTGTGGGTGAGTGTATTTTTACGTTTGCTTCAGGAACTACAAGGGATTCAAATGTTCCACTACCATTAGCAAGGGAAAGGGAAATAAGCAAAAGATCATGAGTCAGGATAAGTATAAAATATCAATTTTACTTAAAACATTACATGTATCTGAAAGCATATTTTATTCATTCCCCCTAAAAAAAAAAAAAATTGTTTTAGGCCTTGGTATACAGATTGAAGTGCCTTAAAATTAACACTTTTTCTTTGTCCAGTCGAGATGATCGGAGACATCGGTATGATCGGTCTAGATACTCACCCGATAGAGGGCGTTATGGTAGAAGACGGAGCAGAACGCCTAGCCCTCGGAGAAGGGATAGAAGGTCACCTGTGAGGGGTCGTGGACGATCACGTGATAGGTCGAGAAGTCCTAGGTCGAGGTCGCGATCCTGGAGCAGAAATAGATCGCGATCCCGTTCAAGGTCAAGGTCTAAGGGTAGGGTTATGTTCTTGCATAGAATTTTTATTCTGTTACTTACAGGTTCTCTAATACATGGATGGTTGGTATTGATTTCATGCTTTTTGTTATTTGAATTGTAGCAACATGTATGCTGGGGAATTTAAGGGGAATTTCAGCAACGTTTATCAGGTTGGTGTATTTAATAAAATACAGGCAATCCATATGGGCAATATAGTGACAGGTTTGGTGGTTTGGGGAAAAGGAATATCAAATACATCGTTTCACTGGTGAACTATCCTTTAAGGCCGCCAGCCTGACAGTCGTGGATCAACTCCCACCCTTGACAATGGTCGCTACTCCACTGCAAGTGCCATCCCAACCATTCAGAGTGTAGCATCGTCTATTGCCCATGCAGACAAGCAGCAGCAAGGGGATACTCCTCCTCCTCCCGGCCCACCTGGGCCACCTGGCCCACCTGGCCCACCTGGATCACGGCCTAGATGCAGGGACTATGATGGTAAGGTTGCTGATGATCTTTGCAGTTTTTATTCTTGTAGAAGGTTAGGTCACCTGCTATAAAATAGTTTGTCACTCTGTGGAGTTTCAATTGCACATGAGGACTTTCATCTCTACAGGATTCTTTGGGGTGGGTGGGGGGTGATTAGGTCTTTGTTACTCCCTATGCCTGTCTCCTTAATCTTGCTTAGGACAAGGATCACACAGTGCGATCTTAGCTCTACAACTATCTGAAGTCTATGATAGAGTATGGGAGTTTCGATCAGCATAGTGCTAAGATCGCCATGTGCAAAATGTAAATATCTCAAAACATTTTTCCTGGCTAAAATCAACTATAAATTATTGATGTCTTTGTTTCTTGCATTTGTGCAATTGATTGTTCTTTTTCAGAAGTCCTCCTTGGGGGTAAATATAAGCATTAAAATGTCCATTTTAAAATCCTACGACAGTTGTAACAATATTTTCAAATATATGTGTATCAGGTTTTTTCACCAGATCATAACACACTGTATATTTTGTTTCAGAAAAGGGATTTTGTATGCGTGGTGACCTCTGTCCTTTTGATCATGGCCTTGACCCTGTTGTTGTGGAGGACATAGCTATACCGAACATGTCCATTCCTCCACCATCACTTGGTAGGAAGACTGACTGACTGATTTCATGATGGACTACAATGACAAACCAGCAGTTAAGCCATACATCCCAACTACTGATACCTATTTAAGCTGATTCTTTGGGCATGCTAGCTTGTCCTAGCATGCCCAAAGAATGAGATTAAATAGGTATCAGTAGTTAGGATGTATGGCTTAACTGCTGGTTTGTCATTGTAGTCCATCATGAAACAAAATACTAATTAACATTGTCAATAACTGTTTATATGTTGATCTCACCTCAATAATATTTTTTACATTATATCATATTTCGATATTGGTGAGATTTGATAGGAACACATATAAGATACTTAACAAGATCTTGTGGCCCTGTTGTTTGTTTCTAACCTGGAGGAGACCCGTGAAGGTCTGGGTTAGAATATTGATCTTCAGTAACCCATGCTTATCGTAAGAGGCGACTAACGTGATCGGGTGGTCAGGCTCGCTGATTTGGTTGACACATGTCATCGGTTCCCAATTGCGTAGATCAATGCTCATGCTGTTGATCACTGGATTGTCTGGTCCAGACTCGATTATTTGCAGACTGCTGCCATATAGCTGGAATATTGCTGAGTGCGGCGTAAAACTAAACTCTATCACTCACTCTAACCTGGGGGTCCACTTGTGTTGATCTCCATGAGGCTTCCTGTATGGAATTAGTTCCCAGCAGCCTGTTTTGGTTGTAAGTGATGGCTTACTGAATTGTGTGATCAGACTGAAACACTTGGTTGATGGTGTGTCAGTGTACCCTGACTGTGTGGGTCAAACATTGTACGGTCTCTTCCAGACTTGAATTTTACTATCTGCCATCAAGTAGTTGGAATATGGCTGATTGTGGTGTTTAACACTGATGATGGTGGTTCGATGCAGTTTTGATCTAAAACATCACCAATTCCATCAATTGTATATTGTTGCGACAGGAGGACCACCACCAACTTCCGGACCTAACTCTGGCCCACGTCCCCCTCCCCCAGGACCTGGTGGTCGAGGGGCTCCACCTGGACCGCCACGTGGACCGCCGCCTGGACCACCCCCAGGACCACCACCCCCGCCACCACCAGGTGTACCTGGAGGCCCTCAGTTTCCACCTCCCGCTGGCCAAGGGCCTCCTCCTCCTCCTGGTCCCCCAACCCCAGGAACTATGGGGTCACGACACATACCAGCCCACCCACCAAGGACAGGGCCTGGTGGTATGTCATTTATTTACAATATGTTTAGATAACTGATCAAAAGTATGCACTATTCCTAGAAGAACATTCATTATTTTTAATTGAGGATGAATTCGTGTCATGATTATTCTGCCTCAGTTCATTACTCTTGCCGCATTATGGCGAGGGATGACTGTATATTTTATTGTTGTCAATAACTAATGTAGAGCTATATATATTGTTGCAAATTCTATTATTGCTGACATGTTAGAAGTGCAGTTGTCAAAGTAAATCTGCTGTTAGTTACTGTTTTTCACCTGTTGTAGGTGAGGGTTACAATCCAGAAGCTCCAGCTCTCACATCTCGTCCACCCCCAGGTTTCTGGGGAAACCAGCGTGGTCAGCGCCCCCAAGCAGCTTTCTTCAACCCCCAGGCACAGAGACAGAGGGATCTAGTTCAGGTCCCCACCCTCCCTGAATCTCCACCAGAGGATCTGGAAGGTAAAACTTACATGTCTGGCCCTGAAGAGGCACCCATACCAAGACTAAACTGGGGACCCATTCCAAGACCATTGCAATGGAATTTATCAATAGGATTTTAATTTAAAATGTTGAATGTTAGATTAAGTCTGATTGAGATTATAACATGAGACTTAGATATGGACATTATACTGATCCTCATCGTCCACGTGTTTAATGTATGTTTTCATTTATTTGGCACATATGTATCTAAATCTTGAGGTATTTTAATGGAAAGAAAGTTAGTCCGATTTAGATTTTAGTTGCATCATCATCAGCAAAGAGATTAGTAGAGTGCTTGGAGATATTTGACGCTGGTTTGTGTTCATATCTCAGGAAAGAATGATTCAATGTCCAACTCACCACCACATCCCACAGTCTCATCGAGGGTGGTGATTCCTCAGAAGCGCACCCATGGAATGATGGAGGGTTATGGGCGTGGCAGGGGGCGTGGCAGAGGATACATGTCTCCGGCAAAGAAACCATTTGACTATGGAAGACTCGGAGGTATGTCACATGTAGTGTGTGTTAGTATTCTGGGCTAACTGGTTCCAAAGTTGTTAGACCTATTTGTGCTCACAAGAGATGACTTACCGTATACCGTGAAATTTTCAAGGCACTAAAATTTCGAGGTTTGAGACCCCCAGAGTTTTCGAGGTGATTTAAATTTCGAGGTTTGGGGACCTAAAATATATGAATATTTTACATAATTTTAATTTCGAGGTTAGAAGAAAGTGGCCAGAAACATCACTTACCGGGACAATACTCATTGAGCTATCAGCAAAACTCCTAGTAGCCAGTGATAACTGCCGTCTGACTGTTATAGCTACCGGTATACCAGTCCATGCCAGCAATAATAGTAATGAAAACAAACGTTTGATCCTTTGTTGTGATAAATGACCCATGAAATACTCTGTCGGCAGAGTTCAAAGGCCATTTTTTCTCAGACGATATTGTTTTCTTAACAACTAGCTATAAGCATGTATGCATGGGTCTCTGCTGAATCTTTGTTGTTAGAAAGCTGAGAAGTTGACCTCTTTTGCGAAATTGAAACCATGCAGAAGATCAAATGGTTGGTATTTGTTTACGATAGTTTATACATGTAAGTAACTTGACTCAAACGTGTCATCACATGTATAAAAGTTTGTTTCATTCGATGTCGTTACATTTGATGAAGTAAAATGAGTCTAATAGCGTGGTTAAAGAAGTCTGTTGATGAACCCGAAATGTTCCTTCCTAGCCCTACCAAGGCCCCATCAATGAAAATGACGGCAACTATTGTGGCTGCAGCCAACAAAGAGGTTCTTATTGCACTGTCCACACCCAAGAAAAGGAAACGCGAATCCACCTACAACTTTTATGACGACGAAACATCAGCAAAGATTGCACGTTATGCTCTAGAACATGGTGTAGAAAGTTCACCAAAGAGCTGCAAAAGCCCATTAGTGAATCTAGCGCTGGCTCAATTAGAGACAGATACAAAAGACGTTTAGTCAAGGCTCGCAAATCAGGGGTCAGTAATCATGAGTTAAAGAAGATTGAAACAACGCTTCCAAAAGAAAACCGAGGTAGACAATTGCTACTTAAAGACTTTGATGAACAAATACAGACCTACATCAGAGCTCTTCATGATGCCGGTGCAGTAGTGAACACAACAATCGTCATTGCCGGAGCAACTGGGATTATCAACAACGTGAATCCAGGACTTCTTGATACCAACGGCAGATCAATCACCTTGACTAAAGCCTGGGCTTTGTCATTATTGAACAGAATGGGATTTTCCTTCTGAAGGCAACCACAAGTGCACGCACCCTACCAGAAAACTTCTCCGACATTTAAGAAGAATTCCTTGGGCGTATCGGTACCAACATGAAAGAGAAGAAAATCCCTGATGAGCTTATCATTAACACTGACCAAACAGGACTTAAGTACGTACCTTGTCGGCAATGGACCATGGACCATGGCAGAGAAAGGGTCAAAGCGTGTAGAGATAGGGGGACTCACTGACAAGCGAATGATCTCAGGTGTAGTCGGATCAACAATGATTGGCGATTAATTATTTGCCTTGTTAATAGAATATGTATGAGTTGATGTAATAAATGTCATCTTTTGTCTTTTGCTTGCAGGTTTTAGACGACAATTTAATAATGAAAATGCTACACTGGAAGTACGTAAAGTCCCACAGGAATTCAACAACATTTCTAAACTGAATGAGCACTTTGGAAAGTTTGGAACTCTTGTCAATGTTCAGGTCAGTATTGTGAGAAGATTATGAAAGAGTATTTCTCTGAGGTGTCATTATTTACTGTGCTCTACAAATACATTTGTTTAACATGTTGGAGTACAAAACTGGATCACTGTATGTTTAAGTAAGTGTCTGAACAAAGTCTACTCTGTGTATGAAACAGTTTTCACTTTGAACAAGAGAGACAATGTTGTGGATTTATAAATGTCACTTGCAGTATTGAAAGTAGAAGGCCCCTGAACAGGCAGCTGTTTTGGACACTGCTTCTCAATCCCGCTCTCACCCATCTCTATGGTGTATTTACGTAGAATACTGATGTAACCTTTTTTCCAGGGATAGTGAACAGGCAGCTGTTTTGGACACTTCTGCTCAATGCAGCTCTTCTCATCACTATGGTGTATATAAGTAGAATACTTATATAGCCTCGTTACTTCAGATGCCTTTTTGGTACTACCAGTTCCACAAAGGGCCTGAATGTCCATTCACAATAGTGGTGTTCCGATTAATTGAAATAATCGAAGATTGGTCGTAGTGGCCAAACGACCAAGCAATCGATCACATGTTCTCATAATCGAACACAAACGATTTTGGAACCGCTGTAATAGAGTTTGAAATACTTGATGATGGAACATATTTAGGACGTTGTCCGTGTTTAATTCTTAGAAAACTCCCTTCACTTTCTGAAAAGTCATGACTGAATATTTCTTGAAGAATCTGAGAAGTTTATGTTACAATGGAACTGAAGCATTTTACACTGGATGTGAAATTTGCAAATGTAATTTGTGCAGTTTCTAAATAAAACAAAAACAACAACAGAGAACCAAATGTTTTTTTCTTTATACTTATTTGCAACTACAACCTGAATAGGAAAATCTAAAAAATAACGCTAACCAATTTTTTTCGATGATTGGTCGTTGGTATTGAACCAATCATCAATTGTGAGATTTCAACCAATTCCCAACACTAATTCACAACATGGTGCATCTCATACACTGATAGGCTACAGTATGAGAATTAGTGGTGATCTGGTTTCAGATTTGCTTTGAGGGAGACCCTGAAGGAGCTCTAGTGACGTTCAGCAACAACGCTGAGGCTCATGCAGCCTATAAGAGCAGCGAGCCGGTGTTCAACAATCGCTTCATCAAGGTGTTCTGGCACAAGAAGAAGGAGATGGAGAAACCCATAGAGACGGACCCAGAGGTGCTGAAGGCCCAGAATAAACAGAAGCATGAGCAACAGCAGCAGGAGAATCTCAAGCAGAAGGTCCTTGTTACGGTAACAGGCCAGACTTCCCTTCTCCAGTATTGAAGTGTTAAAGTTGATGTTTGTCATTGTCAAAGGTTTTGTTTTGTTTGCAGTGGTGTATTGCGTAGATATTTCAAAATATAGTGTCAATTGTAGGTCAGATTCAGTGGATCATTGATCATACGTTGAAAGACTCAGACTTAGAAACAATTAGTTACAGACCACCTTGACAAAGCCTGAACATTTCTTTAAACTAACTTCACATACATGTCTAGTATCCCAACCCTATATGTTTAGCGTTATCACAAAGTTGAAGCAATGGAGATTCTGTGTATGATCATGAATGAGGGCCCCCCCATCAATCTATGCTTGCTCCAAAAGGAGGAATATTGCTGAGCACAGCATTAATCAATTGATAGTAAATATCATTAGGGTATTCTTGTTTCATTATTATTTCAAACCGAATTGTTTTGTCCAGTTTGTTTCACTTTGACCAAATTACATGATTACTGAGGTCACGGCATCTGTAACGGAGATCTTATGTTTATGTAGACATGGAGGAATGATAAGGAACACAGTCAGGAATGAACCCAGTTAATAACTTCCTCTTACTCTCCAGTTTTCAACCACCCAAGAATCTCTGCCAACTCCTGACCAGCTTCGCATCCCAGCTCGAGCTCGTCTTGGTGTACCACCAGCCAATAAACTCAAGTTGAACAACTCAGGGACAAAAACTCCTGAGTCACCAACAGAAAAGGTAGTGACATTTTTGCTTATTGGAGGCTAATGGATCGGGTGTTCAGGCTGTAGACTTGGTTGCCACATCATCGTATCCCAATTGCATAGATCGATGTTCATGATGCTGATCACTGGATTGTCTGGTCCAGACTGGATTATTTACAGACATATAGCTGGAATATTGCTATTGGAATGGAGTGCTGCAAAAAACCAAAAGCATTTTGCATAGGATATGATATTAGTATTAGGTCATGTACATGACAAGAGCTTCAACACCATGTAAGATTTCAGTGTATCACATTTTTAGGTAGGTTTTTTTTATGACTATGTATCCCAGTTATTACCTCAACACCCTGGGGAGTATGCAGTCTAATCTGCGTGTTAAATCTCCTCACATGAATCTCCCTTCCTGCCAATCACCTTGTCATGTCTTATTGTTATTATGTACTATTTACAATAGTTTGAGCCTAAACATGATGGAGTTTGCCCAACTTTGTGTGTCTCCCTTATGTCACTATATTTTTGTGGAATTTATAAACACTTTCATGCCAATGATGTAATGTTCTCAGCAGAACACTGATACACATAATGTTTTGCACTGGTCAAAGTAAATAAAAAATGCTTACCACAAGGTCTGCACAGCGATTGAAAAGGCCTTGAATTTTAGATCTTGTCTTGAATGGGCATTAAATTTGGCATTTCCCAAGAAAAGAACTTAAAAATAAGTAACATTACTTGAAAAGACCTTAAAATATTTCGACATGAGTATGCATTGGTAAGTTTTTCATTAGATGTATACAAAATGAAAATGTGCTTGTGAAAATGCAGTTATGTTGCATATGTAGTCGTAAGTTTTGGTGCTGGTTTTACATGCCACATTTCCTTGTATGCATGGGTTACTTCCCCTTTTATAACATCACAGATGTTGGTGTCATTTATTATCCCCACCACGAAGTGGGAGGGGAATATTGGTTTGAGCTCCATCTGTCCATCCGAGATGATGGGGAACAGATTTTCTCAAAAAACGTTATAGATAGGGAAACCAAATTTCAAAGATGAGATGTTTTAGGACATGAATGCTTTGATGGAGTTCGAACGGAAACCTTGTTACAGAGTTATGGCCCTTGTCATGCGTTTCTTGACTTAGTGCACAGTATCCCCAATGGGGACAGATTTTCTCAGAAACCATTATAGATAGGGAAACCAAATTTCAAAGATATTTTCAGGACATAAATTCCTTGATGGAGTTTGAAAAAGAAACCGTGTTAGAATTTGTTCCAGAGTTATGGCCCTTGTCATGCATTTCTTGACTTAGTACATGGTATCCCCAATGGGGACAGATTTTCTCAGAAATCGTTACAGATAGGGAAACCAAATGTAATATGTGTTTACAGGACATGAATGTCATAGTGGAGTTAAAAACTGGAACCAAATAGGAACAGAACACTGTAGCAGGGGATATTGATGACCATGTCTTATTGTTTGCCCTGAGTTTAACTAAAAGTGCTTTGAAAAAGACTTGAAAACTCCTTGATTTTGTTCAGAAGAAATCTGTACCTATCTTTTGCAGGCTGAATCTAAATTACTGATACTCATGATTTGATACAGCTCTGTGTCAAGGTATTGTAATCAGATGCAATTCATAGATTTTGTCATAGACATTTAGAACCTGTGACCTGGCGTTGTGCAAGAGGTAATAGACACAATTTGTTCCCACAGGGTATTGTGTACACATCATCCGTGGGCAACCTGAAGAAGACAGTATTCAACACAGAAGCTATGAAGCAGACCAAGGCCTCTCTCTCAAGTCCAACAGCTGTCAATACTGCTGACTTTGTCACAAAAATCGAGGCCATCAAGAAGGCAGAAGGGTTAAAGAAGGTGAGAAAAAGAGATACAGTCTTAATGCAAGAATTGTTTTTAATTTCAGTGAAACCCAGTTTCCTGAGTCACACATTACTAATGCCTTGCTCTGGCCTCAGAAACTTCTATGAACATTCTGCCCAAGGCTGTGCCATATTTATGTGACCTTAGTTTGATTGCCCTTGTTCACCCTTGATCACAATTGTTCACCCTGATTATGGTTCTAGGTGTACCAGCTAGGGGTGAAACAGTACGCTCTTACCACGGTAGATATTGTGGTACAAGGCCTTCAGTTTGGTTCGTTTCGGTTCGGTTCGGTATACGAGATATGATCATAATGCAGAAAATTGACATCTGGCAAAGAAATGCATAGATTTTGACAAAACAATTTAAGTTCTAGACATTTTAAAAAGGTTTGAAAAGGTTAATAAAATTTCGGTACGAAAACCGAAAATACCGAATTTTTGAATTGCATTACGGTATACCGAACCGAGGGCAAAATACCGCGGTTCTACTAATACCATGGTATACTGTTTCACCCCTAGTACCAGCGTTATGTGTGTGCTCTCTCCAAAATGGTTAATGCCTCACAGCTGCATCACTTCCATCACACATCATGCATATCAAGCTCCATGATAAACCAGCAATTCTGTTAAATGTTAACTCCAGTTTCCTTCTCTTCTCTCAGGAGGCTGCCAAGAAGCGGCTAGAGATTCACCAGCAGAAGCAGGAATTGCTGAAGAAGCAGATAGAGCAACAGAAGGTAAAGTAGGACATTAATATAAGGAATCAATGCTTCATAGAAACTTAAGACAATTTCCTTTCATGTATTATGGCTTGATCTTTCTAGGTGTATGATTTCCATACAGGTAACCTTTATCAGAGGTACAGATAAGCAGCGTATCTGCTTAAATTACGCAAACATTTATGTGAAAACTCAATTCTTACCAAGTCTGTTGCGTACAAGTACGCTTGAATTTTTGTAAGTACTCAATATATTTGATCTTACATGTGTACACACAAAAATGTCAAATCTTTGTTTGCGTTTCGGTGCATAGATAAAATAACTGAAGTACAGTGAGAGGTTCTATTTCAACACATGAACTAGGCAACTTGCAGTGTTTCTTGTAGTTTCTCATATTACAGATCCAATATAAATAACATTTAAACGTCATTATACTTTTACAATTAATGGAAAATGACAAAATACCCAATTGAGTTTGAGTGAGGTGGGTACAATTTATTTGGTTACTGAAAGGAAAATTAGGATACCCAATTGAGATGAGCACAAGCGAGTACATAACTCAATGACCCAAAAAAGTTATCTGTAGCTCTGCTTTATCTTTGCTAATAGTTTGACAACAGTAACATCTTTGAAACTGTTTAAAAATTATACTTGTATACATAAAATTCAGGGGAGGGGGCCAGTTGTATATTACAAATTGTATTTAGGATTTTTTAACATTGTCCATATTGGAAGTAAAATCTGTTTGTATTAGTCTACTGAATGTAGCTGTCTGCTTATTGTGCCCCGCTGCATTGCGGAAGGGGGACTGTATAAAGTCTGTCCATATGTACGTCACACTTCTTTTTAATGCAATATCTCATGGACTGTTGTACCAGTCGAATTGGGTGACCTTGACCTTTTCTTCTTGGTCTCCATGACACTTTCACCACTTTCCAAACTTGTGTAACCGTAAAATCTCATAAAACATTGCACCCAATGTCTTTGATTATGTCGACAGCCTACATTTGGTGATTACGCAGACACCAGTCATTTCAGGGTGACCTTGGCCTTGTTTGCAGAAGGGGACATTGCCATGTTAGTGGCAAACACTTGTACATAGGTGCCACATGTTGCCATATCTAATGCCACATGCAGTTATTGAGCATGTATTTGTTTTGTTTTTCAGAAATTGATTGAAAAGATGGAGAAAAACAAATCAATGAGTGCTGAAGACAAAAGTGCTATCATGACTGTGAGTGCCTCTCAATGTATTTTCCCTCAACAGTAATTGATGTTAGTTGAGGTGGACTGAAGTCAAATGAAGTGCAATCATTACTGTAGACAAAATTATAATCAGGTCATAAATCATATTAATTAAAATTATTTTCTGTATAAATGTTCTGCTCATGGTGTCATCAATATTAGAGCGTGATAACTTTGTGTTCTTCTCAGTATTTTTGATGGTTAAAGATGCTGAGTTTGGTGATGTTTCAGACTCTTAAAGCTGTGTCTAGCAGCATAGACAAGCTGAAGCATGAGTTGATGCCAAAGATGGGGGGTATGTCGCTGGTGAAGAGTCCCGAGCAGGTAACTCATTTCTTCATCTTATAGTTGTTGATTGCAGCATCACACTGCAGTTCCCATTCCATGACTGGTTAGGTGAAGAGGTACCTCAGATTATACTGCCAATGTAACTCTACAGCAAAACTGTGAACTAATTGGTATTACAGACTGATCAGTCATCTCAGGAGCGGTGGGGTGGCCTAGTGGTTAAAGTGTACACTCGTCACGCCAAAAACCCGGGTTCGATTCCACAAAGAGTACAATATGTGGTGTCCCCCACTATGATATTGCTGGAATCTTTGCTAAATGCGGCGGAAAACTAAACTCACTCCCTCAGTCATATCATGCATTCAATGAACATGTTATCAGAGACCAAGCTAACTGGATGCTATAGACTGTGGTCTGTAAAATAGTCATACTGCAGATTTCCTTTCTCATAGGGATGAAATTTTAATAACAGAAGTAAACACAAGGACTCCTTAAATTTTCAAAGAACAGGAGATGGTTTTTATGTGCTTATATAAAAATATTAACAACAAAGGTCTAGCAGAAACAGATAACTGACCCAGGAGCTCTCATGTGAATGTTATGAAATGGAAATAACAAGTGCCAAAGATTTTCTATGCAACAATTCAAATGATACTAAGAGGTTTCTGCTTACATAGCATTTTTTACAACAGGCTCGACGGGAGATCCTGGACACAGAGCTGGAGCTAATGACAAAGACGGGGAATGGGGAGGACACGACGCTGCTGAAGAAAAAGTTGATGGAACTCACCCGGGAGGTAGGTAGATGTCAGCAACAACAACCATGATAATAAAATAGAGTCATGTTGCTCCAAGCTAGTCAGCTTGGCTGTTCAAAGGTGCTTTACATTATTACTTACATTTTTAAGAGCAATGGATCGGTGTGTAAGTGACGGCCCATGCATACTGTGAAGCACTGGAATAGCAATCACATCCTAAACATGCTAAAGTTCTGTAGAATTTTCTATTCATGGTGATACTTTACTTGTATAGTTTAACAGAAAGCTCACCGATTAAATGTCGACATATTTAATGTTAACGTGTCAATAACAAGTGTCTTGAGACTGTTAGTTACAGGCGTTTATTCAAAATTGCTGCCTGTCATTCAGCAGTATCCACTCACTCACTCTTTATTTGTCTCCTAGGCAACAGCCATGGGACTCCTGGACAGCAAGGGAAGGGGGAGGGGTCGAGGCCGCGGCATGACCACGAGAGGAGTTGGTCGTGGTCGAGGGTCATGGATGGGTCGTGGGAGAGGGAGAGGAGCTGCAGCTGGCAGTCTGTCATTAGACAAACGACCAAGGACGCTTCAGATCAAGGGATTTGATCTGGAGGAGAAGGAAGAGATCAAACAGTTCTTCAGTGTAAGACTGATACCTGTGTTGTAGGATTTAGATTTCATGACTGACTACTTACTGCTCAAATGATGTGGTGTAGCTTGTAGCCTAGAGGATAAAATGTTTACTTCTCCTGCTGAAAACTTCATTTCCCCACATTGGTGCAGTTCCCCAACCTTAGCATCGCTGTAACAATAGTGGGAGCTGAGGAAAACTATACTGACTCTCTAACTATATACATTGTACTTTGGTGTTATTAGTCAGTATTACTTGTGAACAAATGAAAGGAAAGTCATGGATGGGTGCCTAAATCAGACATAAATGTCGATATAGTGGTTACATTCTGTGGCCTGGCAGGATTGGGTGCATCATGCTACAGTAGTGAGAATTTTTGGTTATGTTTCAACCTCCAGTTTGCCTGCCCTAGACTGAATTTATGATGCTTACAAACTGCTGTAATCTGGCTTGAATACTGCTGTGTCTGACGGTAATCACTCACCAGTCTGTTTGATCTGAACATGCAATGACCAAAATGTGTCCCAAAGTGAAAAAGGACATACTTTATGTATATTGGTGGTAGGGATGTAGATTGAGTTTGAGTCTGATGTAGGTAATGCACTGATGTGTGATTCCTGGTTGTTTGCAGCAGACCTGCCTGACTGAGAAGGTGGAGTACAATGACGACATTCCAAGTGCAATAATTACATTCTCTACCAGGAAGGATGCAGAGAAAGTAAGTCACTGCCAAATTTAAACAAATATATTTTTAGTAATCCAGGGATGCAATTGGCTGTGGATTCCCTTTGAAATCGGCAAGCATAGGTTCGAATTCCAGTCCATCCCAATTTTGTTTGTCGGTTTGTCTGCACCATACCCATGGTTGTAGGCTTCAAATATGTGGTACACATCAGGGTGGAAATAACCCATTGCCCGAAGATCGAGTCCAGTTTTTTTTTCTGTCGGGCAAGCAGATTTGTATATCACACTGTACCGGTGTCCACTTGACTTTCCAATGTTATTTATGTTGTTTATTTTAAAATATCAACAAGAAAACGGCCGGTATAGTGGGAAAATTATCAGGGCAAGTGATTTTACATGTGCCACTCTTCTGGAGTACACTAGCAATTTTAAAGTTATTTCAACCACTTCACATATTGAGGCCTTCATCACTTCAGACTTTCCTCCCACAGTAGGCTGATATGTCGTGATGTAACTGGAGTGTTGTTAAAAGCAGCATTAAACAGAACTTGCTCCCTCAGTTCTTAGCATATCCTTCTTTTTGTGCGTATTAATTTTTTATGTAATATTCAGAAACAATAAGTTGCAGCACATAGTCATTTAGCCCCTATTTCGTTTATATATTGAAGTTTTTCATTGTGATATTGAGCTCTGTCAACGAAAAATAAATGGCAATGAGAGCAGATGTTTCCGTCTAAGCATATGTTTATATATTCTGGTAATGAAGTTTTGTTATAAGGCCAAATATAAAAAAATGTTGTGGTTCCGATTACCCCTCTTTAAAATCTAGGGTAGGTAGGTAGGTAGGAATTTTTTTAAAAATTTAAATTATTTTTTTTTGTCCCCCGCCGCAACGCGGAACGGGGGACTATGTATTCAGCGGCGTCCGTACGGACGTCCCGATTCTTGTTAACACGATATCTCATGAACTGTTGTACCCAATGTCTTGAAATTTGGTGACAGCCTACATTAGGGGATCGCAAAGACACCAGACGATTTGGGTGACCTTGACCTTATTTTCAAGGTCACCACGACACTTGACCACTTTTCAAACTCTTGTTAGCGTGATATCTCATGAACTGTTATACCCAATGTCTTGAAATTTGGTGACAGCCTACATTGGGGGATTACGCAGACACCAGTTGATTTTGGTTGACCTTGACCTTATCTTCAAGGTCACCACGACACTTTTCACACTTTTAACTCATGTTAACGCGATATCTCATGGACTGTTGTACCCAATGTCTTCAAATTTGGTGACAGTTTACATTGGGGTATTACACAGACACCCGTTTATTTGGGTGACCTTGACCTTATCTTCAAGGTCCGCTTTTTGAAGGCGATATCTCATAAAACATTGCACCAAATGTTTTCAAGTATGTTGACAGCCTACATTGGGTGATTATGCAGACACCAGTCATTTCAGGCATCTTGTATGTGACCCAAAAATTTAAAACCAATAACACATGTATCAATGTGTAATTGTTTATTCAATCAGGCTTGCAGACATCAACATCATATTGATTTTCTCTATCAGAATGACCGATATCGGTCGGCGCTGGGAAAAAACCAATGGTATCAGAAAGCTTATTTTAATCAGTCCGCTTAAAAAAAAATAGGGTCGGCACCAGAATTCAAGGGTCGGTCGGGTAATCGGAACCACAACATTTTTTTTAGGCCTAAGCAGTGTCTGATGGTTAATGTGTTGCAGGCTATTGGTCGAGGAAACAAGTACCAGAAGCCTCTGAATATACAGTGGTTCACTCCGCTGCTGAGGACTGTGAGTGTAGTCAGCGATGACAGTCTTTCTGGTACCTTGGAAGAAGATGAAGAAGATGAGGTAATTGTATTCACATGCATGTTTTATGTGTAGAATAAGGATATTAGGAACTGTTTATTGATTATGTAGCTATTGGAGTATTCAAATTTAGCATTGCTTGCTTGACTGCAGTATCTGTTCTATTTGACTCCAACACTCACTGGAATGTATCTTGTTGAATATGGGGCTGTAGTGTAGCCTAGTGGTTAAAGCGCTCGCTCGTCATGCTGAAAACCTGGATTCGATTCCCCACATGGGCACAATGTCTGAAGGCCATTTCTGGTGTCCCCTGCTGTGATATTGCTGGAATATTGCTAAAAGCGGTGTAAAACTAAACTCACTCACTCACTCACTTGATGAATATGGTTGGAAATAGATGATGGTTTACTGTCAAATGCTTCGGTTCTTTCAGAACTACACTTGTGAAATCTCTTGGCACGTTAGTTAGGAACACAGCCTGTCCCCAAGGTGTAGAGAAACTATTTAACTCGTCTGTTATGGACAGTAATAGTATGTGTCCCTGTGTCTTAGGCTGTATCCTTTAGGGGAATGCGAAACATGATGAACGAAACCATATTCACCTTGATTCTGATTCATCATGGGTTTTAATGACGTTTCAAGCAGCATCAACGGACTGCATCACTTTAAGCTTGCCTCCCATATTTTGCAGATGTATTGTGATATTGTTGAAACACTTATTCACTGTATGCTATTGCCAGAGTCAGGTTGAGGAAGACCTGGATGAAGCAGGACTGCTTGGGGCCGATGATGAAGAGGAGGAGGATGAGGAGTCTCGTTCATGGAGGAGGTAGTCTTCAACCAAGGTCAAGGCCAAATGAAAAAGTCAGAGAGGAATCAAGAGTGGGAAAGAAGTGCAGCTGAATTGTTATTACTCAGTTTCTTGATCTTCCTGTTTTGTACTAGACTACATGCATGCACACTTGGACACATACACCACATGCATGCACACTTGAACACCTACATACATACATGAACACCTACACCACACACATGCACACTTTGACACCTACACCACACGCATGCACACTTTGACACCTACACATGAACACCTACACACATGCACACTTTGACACCTACACCACATGCATGCACACTTTGACACCTACACCACACACATGCACACTTTGACACCTACACCACACACATGCACACTTTGACACCTACACCACACACATGCACACTTTGACACCTACACCACACACATGCATGCACACTTTGACACCTACACCACACGCATACACACTTTGACACCTACACCATGCATGCACACATATGGACTGCTCAACTTAGGACAGGAACACTGGGTTCTCATATTAATATTGTTGATCAGTTCAGTATATGCAGTCACAATGTGACTGTTGCTGTGAACAGTTCAGTATATGCAGACACAAGCTGTGAACAGTTCAGTATATGCAGACACAATGTGGTGTTGCTGTGAACAGTTCAGTATATGCAGATGTGAATGTTGCTGGTTCAGTATATATGCTGTGAACAGTTCAGTATATATTGCAATGTGGTGTTGCTGTGAACAGTTCAGTATATGCAGACACAATGTGGTGTTTGATCAGTTCAGTATATGCAGTCACAATGTGAATGTTGCTGTGAACAGTTCAGTAGGATATGAGTAGTCATGCACTGACACCCATTCACACACTTACATTCATGTAAAGATACATGCATCTGTCCAAGTCTTGGCATATCTACATGTTGATGAGTCTGCCACCGCATGCATTCAGACATACAGATGTTCAAATAAACATTCTGTCATACAGTGCAGGTTTGTTGATAGGCGAGTGTGCATAGTTCACAAAGCCAGCTTTCATTACGACCACTGCTGCGAACATCTACATTTGTACAGTGAGACACTACTCCAGTTCTGTAATGTGATATTCAGAAAACGTGTTATCCAAACAGGACAAGAAAACCTCTGATGTGATAGGTCTTGACTGTATATGTGTAAGCATCTCAACACAACACATTTGGAAGTTGTACACACATTGTACAACTTCGCATACATACTGTCTGAACAGTAATAACATACAGGAATGATAATATCATTTGCATTTATTTAACCTGTTATTGAGAGGTCCTATGTATGTGGTTACATTTGTATCTCTTGCATGAAGCAGTACTTACTAGGCTTACTAGTCAATTTCATTTTCACCATCTTCATTCATTTGTGTGAACGTCAAAATTATTTGAATGTGTTTGAGATATCTGACTGTATTTGGGAGAAAAAGTAAACCTTAGTCCCATTTTTCTCCTTGTGTGGAAGGTTTGAACTGTAAGGTGCCTTTCAGTGTTTGGAATGGAACCAGTAATGGATGGGCAAAATGTTATCATATTTAGTCTCAGTCGCTTTAGGACTACCTACAGCCAAGTCATGTCCCTGCATCTTACATTTCAAGTTTAACATGTCATTCAACAATATGGTAGTAGATAGGCTAAAAATGATAGATTATTAGCCAGGGTAAGTCAGGTCGTGAATGAACTAGGTTGAAGCCACACATGGGATGTGCAGGATCTTGTGTAAGCCCAATGAAGGGATGTGCAGGATCTTGTGTAAGCCCAGTGAAGGGATGTGCAGAATCTTGTGTAAGCCCAGTGAAGGGATGTGCAGGATCTTGTGTAAGCCCAGTGAAGGGATGTGCAGGATCTTGTGTAAGCCCAATGAAGGGATGTGCAGGATCTTGTGTAAGCCCAATGAAGGGATGTGCAGGATCTTGTGTAAGCCCAATGAAGGGATGTGCAGGATCTTGTGTAAGCCCAGTGAAGGGATGTGCAGGATCTTGTGTAAGCCCAATGAAGGGATGTGCAGGATCTTGTGTAAGCCCAATGAAGGGATGTGCAGGATCTTGTGTAAGCCCAATGAAGGGATGTGCAGGATCTTGTGTAAGCCCAATGAAGGGATGTGCAGGATCTTGTGTAAGCCCAATGAAGGGATGTGCAGGATCTTGTGTAAGCCCAATGAAGGGATGTGCAGGATCTTGTGTAAGCCCAGTCAAAAGGTGTTGGATCTTCTCTGAGCAATGCCTAGGGATGTGTTGGATGCAGCAGAACCCATCATTTAGATTGCTCTTTAATATTTCATTCACTACTGTACGTTGTAGCTCGTACATCAGTGTCAATACAGCTTTGTTGTCAGGTGATGATGAAAGGTAGCCAGATGGTAGCCTTCAAAATATGTTAGTTGGCATTCCCATTCTTACCAGCTCTCTGTAAGTTTAGAATTACAACAGAAATAAACATTGTCATTTGTACTAAGTGCAGGTAAAGTTAGCACCCACTGCAGAAAAACAATGGAGTGAATGTGTTAAATCAAGGTTGTTGAAACCTTAGTGGGCCAAAGTTGAGGTTGAATGCAGTAGCTTAGAAACTGTTGGCTTTGTTTTGTAAATGTTTCCAAGTGCCTTTCAAAAGGGTTGTTTGTGTAATGTGAGGGATACTGAGGACACATAGGAACCCCTACAGTCTTTTTATTTTGTCAAACTTAGTTGAACTGCTAGCATTGAGGGGAAAGTTTTCATATTAAGGGGGCATTTAATATACACACAAACACTGCTATCTGTGCAACAAGTGAAAATTTATGGTTTGGATATTAACAAACATTTTTCCATGACTGTCTTCTTAAAAATCAAAACACAAAAACACATTTGTACTTTTCACAAACTGTATGGATAGACAATATCACAAACAGTATGGATAGACAATATCCGAAAAGTATCTTTTACAGATTTCTGAAGTATTTTATGCAGGAAGTGTTACTCAGATGTCTTAATTCCTTTAATTGATTTTAGTGGGACATATTTAGGTAATATGACTTTGTATGTTTTTATTTAAGTAAAATGTTGCTTTGCTTGTTGATACCACTGGCCTTTTTGTGTACAGCCGTGTAACTGTAAATGAGTTATCAGTGTGTGTGTGTGGAGGAAGCAAGTGTGTACTATTTGAATTGTTGATTTTTGTTCATATGAGCAGTATTTTGTATGACATTGGGTCTATTGTGCATTGTTTTGTAATTTACCATTTACATTGATGTTTACATTGTAAACTTAAACAAATGTCTTCTGTGAAATTTCTTCAACGTTGTTTGCATTTGAAAAGAAGAAAATGAGTATGAGACAAGACTGGAAAGAAAAGAATGAGAATGAAAAAACGTTGATGGCAGAAAAGAAACAAAGCCAGTCAAAGAAAAAATAAGAATATGCATACAACGTTGAAAAAAATATTGTACTGTACATAGATGTGAAAAATGAAAAACACTGTTCATAAAATCATAATAAATGAAAAGATGTGGAGATAAACCACCACCAAAAAACAAATTTTCCCAAAGGAAAACTTGAAACATGATGAAAACAAACCTGAAAGAATGAGTGTGTGTTTTTAATAAAATAAAACAAATACGGTAAGTATAGAATATCAACAGCCTAGACGCTAAATCAAGTGACAGATGGAGACAGGAAAGAGAGAAGATTACATTCCTGCTGTTATCTGTGTTGACAGTTGAAGGGTTTAGATAGTCATGTTGTTAGTCATGTGGTACTATGCTTCTGTCTTCATGAGATCTTTTTTTTAGAGAATGCTGTGGCACAGTCACCTGAATCTGCAGATCACCAGAAGGCAACATACTCGTTCTCACTGGTTCCAACAAACCTGTCATCAAGTAAGGCTTTCTCCAACATTAAGCGTTGGTGACGTAACTGAAAAAAAGTCGAGATAGACTTTTGTTCAATTGACACAAAGGGCAATATGCTGTATGTAATGGAGTCTGGTGGAGAGATACCCTGTGATGTGCATGTCACTGAGCCTGACATCCCGATCCATTTGGTCACTTCTCACACGGTCACAGGCTGCTGGCCACCAACTGAAACCAGAACGCTTGACTATTGAAGGAAATAATTGATTTTCCAGCTACGAATAGCTGAATACTGCTGATGGGGCTGAAAGCAAATTCTTTTTCATATATTCCTCCTTGGGGTACTTATAAGCATTTAAACGTCCATTTAAAATCCATACGACAGTTGTAACAATATTTGAATAAAATATTTACAAAACAAAAACTACATTTTGTAGTAGTGAGACCACCCTACAGGGCTCCACAGACAGGTACAGCCAAGAGCAGGTAACTCTAGACTATAATCTCGTGCCTCACTTTCGTTTCACCAACTAGACATGGGTCCACATTGACAAGTGAAGTTGAAATTCCCCTGCGACAATGAGTGTTTCAGAAACAGCTACTGTATGTATGGTTCTCTTTTTTCCCTGCATGGGCGATTTAGAGATTGGTTCTGAACATTTGTGTCCATGTCAAGATGGCGGACGGGTACCTTCGCTAGGATCACTTTTTCATTGTCTTCCCTTGCGGTTTTCAATGTTTAGTGTGCTTATAGTGTGTTATTTGTATGTAAGTATAACATGTAGGGCATTTGTTTCCACTGCTAGCAATTTCTATGTTTACGCTATCAGTCGTATTTGTTAGTTTTGTTGCAGTGTGTTATACTTTTTATTATCAACTTAAAGCTTACAATATCTGTCACATATATGTGTTCGTTATATAGCATTAGTTGTTATCGCCCATGCGTGTTTTTTATAATATGTATATACGGGTAGGTTACTGCACTGTTTTTATCGCTTGTTGCAGTTTAAAACCTGCGCTTTGTGCCTTCGTCTATCTCCGTTAAAGACACTCACGATGTGTGTTTACTTTGTCTCACGGAGGGTAATCATGAAGAGATGGGTTGTGCAGCGTGCGCCGTGTTTACGCCCAAAGCCATTAAATCTCGAAGGGTGGATACAGCAACTTAATCTACCCCTGTATCTGTCACCCCTGCAACTACTGTTGCTTTAGCACCTGTCGTAACATTTGATGCCATATCCAATCTTTTTGCAGGACCAGATGTCATTTGTGAAATCTCTGATCGTCGGGGGTGGATCGGACGCATCTGGGGGGTTGGCTGCGGCCTGAGTTCAGGCTCGGGGATCGCGTCTCCCCCCAGGCAGCTTGTTCCTAGCTTAGGCTCAGGAGATAGCGTGCCTTGGGCACCTTGTGGCGACCTACCTACGGGCTCAGGTTCGTCAAAGGCGCCTGGCGCAGGCGATGCAGGTTTTGTCCTGTCTTCACCTGGTGCCCTGACCAGCAATGCATTAAGTGAGTGAGTGAGTTTAGTTTTATCTTGCACTCAGTAATATCCCAGCTATATGGTCTGTAAATAATCGAGTCTGGACCAGACAATCCAGTGATCAACAGCATGAGCATCGATCTTCCCAATTGGGATATGATGATGAAATTTGTCAACCATGCCAGCGAGCCTAACCACCCAATCCCGTTAGTCGCCTCTTACGACAAGCATGGGTTACTGAAGGTTCATTCTAACCCGGGCCTTCACGGGTACAATACATTAAGAAATGAGAGATATACAGATTTCATTGTTTATTAGCTCCGTTTCACATGAGTAGGCTTTAGGATAGGAGCTCTCCCAAATGTCTACTTTACATGTTGTGCTAATTGCCTTATTGCCCTTCCTCATCATCCTGTCCTGTCACTCTCTACATCAGATGTCATGTCTTCATCATCATCATCAATTAAGTCTTCTACCCAAGATTTATATTGGTACAGTTTGGAAAACACGTTATGATACAGATTATTTGTGTCTCCTACACCTTTCAGTATTCCTTGTGACTTTGGACCCGACTGCATGTGATACAGATAAGTAATAAATCGGACACACGTCTCTTTAAACGTGCTCCAGATTATTTTTTTCAGTTTGGCTTGAATCATGTCTTCGTGTAAACCTCTTTTCATGTACAGCTGTCGTTTCTCATCCAAAAAGTCTTTATTCAGCTCACGTGTACGTGAATACATTTGTCTTATACCTTGCTCTGCAAGATCAGCCATCTTATTTTTCCTGTTGTTTTGTGTGCCATTGCTTAACGATACAGCATCATCATCATCATTTTCCATTTCAGGACATTGTTTATCATGTATATGTCTTTGTAAGTTGTGGTTATTGCTAAACACTTGACCACAATAGTCTGACAGAGGACGTGGTCTCTTCGTAGCAGAAAAGTTGTCGTCATCCTCCCACTTCCTTTTAACTTGGGGTAATCCAGGTGGACCCACTGAAGACTTTTCAGGACACCAGTTTCTTCTGTGGTTTTGCAAATCATGCACGTAATGAAGCAGGAGTCCACAGTCATCACAAGATGGCATTGCTGGGAGGTTTTCTTCACACGTCTGCTCACTCTGAACATCTAACTCGGACTGAATTGTCCATATTGCATGGAACGAGTGAATGTGACCAATGACAAGTACTTCCGAAGAGTTGCAATGACCATACGACTAAATACACAAACAATTTCACAACAACCGTCAGGCCATGCCTCCAAACAACCCAAACCATCACAAGAACCAGATGATGTAGAACAAGAAGAGGAAGAAGAACAAGACAAAGAAGACGATGACATTTCCCCTACCATTGACGATGATGACGTTTTGGTCATTGCACATAACTACCGTGGCTATGATGGGCACTTGCTCAAACAGTACTTCCATCAACATCTGGTGAAAGCACCCCAGATCATACTATGAGGGAGTCTTGCAGATGAACGTGGGGCAGATTCACTCAATTTCCTCACGATGGCTCTGGAGCAGTTTCCAAAACGTTTGCATTGACGGGACTCAAGAAAGGTTACTTCCCTCACTTCTTCAACACCGAAGCTCTCCAAGGCTATGTGGGTCCTTATCCTCCCGTTTCTACCTACGATCCTGACAGCATGTTTCCTGCCGAACGCAAGCTTCTTGGCCTGGTACAACGCACTGGTGGCTGAGGGGGCTGTCTTTGATCTGGATGAGGAATTGTTGACTTACTGTCAGAGTGATGTTGACATTTTGCGTCGAGGCTGCCTTATCCTCCCGTTTCTACCTACGATCCTGACAGCATGTTTCCTGCCGAACGCAAGCTTCTTGGCCTGGTACAACGCACTGGTGGCTGAGGGGGCTGTCTTTGATCTGGATGAGGAATTGTTG